ATAGCAATGGCTCAGATGAGGAGCCATCCACAACAGCGGCGACGGCACCCTCCCTGTGGGCACCCGCTATTCCCCAGGCAGGGAAGAGGGAGCGCCTGGCTGGCAGGAAGAAGGCACAGGCTATGCCCAAGGCCACAATGCCTGCCCGGGCCCAGCCCGGCCTCATCGCTGATGAGACACCACCATGCTACTCCCTAAGCTCCTCCACCAGCTCTCTCAGCGAACCAGAGCCCGAAGCAGGCAGGCTCCAAGCCCGGGAGCCAGTGGTCACCAAGGACCCAGGCCCTGGAGGCAGGAAAGATGGCCATCCCAGCCCTCGGGCCAAGGTGGAGCTACTGCGGCGCTGCATTGGCTCGGCCATGCCTAGGCGCTGGCCCCAGGCATCAGATTCAAGGTGCTGCAAGCCCAGAGATGCCCAGTTGGATGAACGGCCAGCAGAAGGGACCCAGGAACACAGCGAGGAGGCAGCGGGGTCAGACCATGCCTCAGACTTGGACAGCGTCGAGTGGCGTGCCATCCAGGAGGGTGCTAACTCTATTGTCACCTGGCTGCACCAGGCAGCAGTGGCAGACACCCAAGAGGCCTCATCTGAGTCTGACTCTCTCCTGTCCTTTATGTCAGGGCTGTCTGTAGGCTCCACCCTGCAGCCCTCCCCGCACAAAAAAGGGCGGCGACCACAGGCAGAGGGACAGGTAAGCAGTGTTACTAGGCCAGAGAAATGGGATGTGACCTTGGCCCAGCACGGCAGCAGCCCCTGTTCGCCCTGCGGTCCAGAGAAGCTGCGTGGTACTCAGAAGGCCGTGTCTGGGGTACCAGCCATGCTCCGAGGAAGGACAGTGATCTATGTGCCCAGCCCAGCCAGCCGGGCCCAGCCCAAAGGCACCCCTGGCCCCCGCACCACACCAAGGAAGATAGGACCCCTGAGCCCTGCACAGCCAGCAGCTCCCACCAAAGCCCTGGGCACCGGACAGCAGCGGTCTAGGAGCCTGCACAGGCCTGGCAAGATCTCAGAGCTTGCTGCCCTGAGCACCCCCCAGAGGAGTGCCACCCCACCAGCCCGCCTCACTAAGACTCCTTCATCCAGCTCCTCCCAGACCTCCCCTGCCTCCCAGCCCTTGCCTAGGAAGTCACTTCCGGCTTCCCATGCTTCAGGGCCCCTGCCTAACCCTGGGGCCTCCCCGGTGCCCAAGACACCCATGAGGACCCTGCTGGCCAAGCAGCACAAAACACAGAAGTCACCTGTGCGGATCCCCTTCATGCAGAAGCCCACCAGACGGGGACCACCACCCCTGGCCAGGGCAACCCCAGAGCCAGGTCCCAGGAGTCAGGTGGTGCCCAAGGGGTGCCCAGGTGCCCGGGGCGGCCGCCTAGGCCTGGTGCGCATGGCCTCAGCCCGATCCAGTGGCAGCGAGTCCTCCAACTGCTCGGGTTTCCGAAGGCAGCTGACCTTCATCAAGGAATCGCCAGGACTGCTGCACAGACGCCATTTAGAACTGTCCACTGCAGAAGCCACCACCTCTGCCTCCCAGGGCAGCTCACCCCGCCGCAGTCGGCCCACACTGCCTACCGTTTTCCTCTGCTCCTCCCGCTGCAAGGAACTACGGGCACCCCCACCACAGACCCTGGTCCAACGGCCCCTCGCACCTCAGCCAGGCCCGGGTGAGCGGCCACCAAGGCGCACTAGCTCTGAGAGCCCATCCCGTCTGCCCATCCGCAAGCAGGCTGCCCAGCCAGAGGCAGTCAAGCGCTATGCCTCTCTGCCCCATATCAGCATGGCCCGAAGGCCTGAGGGTACTGCCCCTGGTCCCAAAGCTGATGATGCCCACCAAAGCAGCAATGAGGAGGCCCGACCTCTGCCCAGGGTGGCCTCACCGGGCACCACGTGGCGTCGCATCCGGGATGAGGACGTGCCGCATATCCTTCGGAGCACACTGCCTGCTACTGCTCTCCCCCTCATAGGCACCTCACCTGAGGAGTGCCCTGGCAGTCCCCCACAGCGCAAGACCAGTGACGCCGTGGTCCAGACCGAGGACTTTTCTACCACCAAGACCAACTCCAGCACATCCCCAAGCCTGGAGAGCAGAGGGCCCCCCCAGGCCCCGGCTGGCAGACCTGCATCCTTCCTCAGCAGCGATGCGGATAGGCCTGGCCCTGCCAAGGGGCCCACCTTAGCCCCCTTCATCCATGAGGGCCTGGGAGTGGCTGTGGGAGGCTTTGCTGCCAGCCGGCATGGCTCCCCCAGCCGGTCAGCTCGAGTACCCCCTTTCAACTATGTACCCAGCCCCATGGTGGTGGCGACCACTGACTCAGCAGTGGAAAAAGCCCCTGCGCCCACTGACCTCCTAGAATAGTTGCCTGGACCAGTCTTTTGGAACATCCTCTCTGGCTGGCCATCTGGTTGCCCTGGGGGTAGTCCCAGGAACCACCTGCTCACCCAAGCCCCACCATCAGAGCCCCACTCTAACCCATGGGGGCCTCATATCTCATGCTTGCTTCAGTTCTGTGGGGACTTGAGAAGGAATGGGCTGCTGGCTGGACCTCAAGTCCTGGCCTGACCCATGTGCAGAAACCACCCACCCTCAGCCCCACTGGGCCTAAGCCTCAGCAGGACCCTCATCCCTCATCTCTGGGGAGCCAAGGGAGGTTACAGTATTCCCCCAAGTGGGGGATGGGGCTGCAGAGGGTAATGCCATCTAGCATCTGCCAGCTGGGCCCAAGGCATCCAGTGGAGAACAAAGCCCATAATTATGGGCGCAGCCAAGTAATTTGTTAATGATAACTGCTGGTTTGTTTGCCTTCTCACTCCCAGCTGAGGGAGGGGTGTGGCTGAGCCCAACAGTGAGGCAGGCCTCCACCTCTACCCACCCTCCCCACTGTTAGGTGCTTAGCCAGGGGCTGACAGAGAAGGTGCTGGAGAGGAGCAAGAACAGGGCAAAAGAAGACTGGGCTGGGTGATGGAGAGCCACTCCATGTCCCTACTCCTGGCTGGGGTGGGTGCTGGTTTCAAGTAGAGGAGGAAGTGGAGTCCAGGAAGGTGGGTGGAGTCAGGACCAGCTGTGGTGGGTGAGGTACAGTAGGCAGGATGATGAGAGTCACAGTCAAATCCGGTTCACCTTGGTGACACACAAAACCCCAGATCCATAGGATGGCATGACTACAGAGACTGCAGTGGAGTTGGCACCAGGGCCTTGGAGGAGGGTTAGGGCCTGGGGCCCCAGGACTGTGGCCAGGCCAGCTGGATGTGTGGAGGCCAGGACTTGCAGAGTGCTAGAATGTTGGTGTCAGAGAAGGCTCAGATGGTGGGCACGGGGAGCCTGGTGGTCTTACCTAGGCCCCTCCTAGTGTGTGTGCATGCAAGGGAGACTGCTGAGGTTTCTGCTCAGCTTCCTGCAGACAGAGCAAATGACCTCTTTTCTGGGGAAGTCTGGCTCTGGGAAGGAGCTGCTCTAGGCTTGCGGATCTGCTGTCACAGCCGCAGTGCAGAGAGCTGCCCAGGAGGGGCCAGAGAACAGATGCCATTTGGGAAGACTGGCAACACGGTAACAATTAGACTTTAGGTACCTTCTCTGGGATGTGGGGAAGCATGGTTGACAGATGGAAGTGCAGAAGGAGCCTCTGTCCCTACCCACAAGCACCACTGTCCTTTCCTGTCCCCTGTCCATGGAAGGAGCTGACCCAGGAGAACTGCTTCTTCTGCTGGACTATCCTCAGCTCCAGGGGCCATACTGATCCCAGCCCCTACAGACCATGCTGCTGCTGCTGCTGCTGCTGCTGCTGCTAACACATCTCTGTCATGCTGTATTACAAGCCCTGGAACATCCTGTCCTGCAGAACAGGTGCCGGGAAACCCCAGAAGGCCACAGGAAGGATACAGGAATGGCTGGACGCACCAAGTACTTCTCCTGTGACTGAACTTCCCAGGATAAGATGGCACACAGTGGACCATGGCAATGAGGGCTTGGCAGTGTGTTAGACACACCCACAGCTGACCCCTTGGGATATACTGGGGCAGGGATTGTCTAGGATGCATCTGAGAAATCACCAGTCCTTGTCCCTATCCATAGCATGAAGGAGCAGGAGTAGGTGATCTCAACTCTAAGTGCAGGGCCATCAGATGTATGCTCTTATACTCACCATGGGCCAGCTGCCCCCCAAAATGGCCCAGTGGGAGGAGAAAACATGCCAACACACCAAGCTTGCTGAACCATAGTGGGTCTGAAATGGTGGGGCCTGGGAGTGGGAGCACCTGTGCACTGTGAGACCCTGGGTGGTGCTCTCAATGCTCTATGTCTCAGTTTCCCCTTATGGGCCATGAGGAGAACTCCCAGAGCTACCTCTAGAGCCAGAGTGGCTGCTGCAACTGGGTGAGATGCCCAGACTCTCCCTGGCTGTCCCCTCCACCTGCCCCTTATCCTCAAATGGGGGCAGCTCCCACCTATGCCAGCACGTGGGGACCTCAAGCCCCATCCATGTCCTGCAGCCACATTTGCCTTCTCCGTCCCCATGATGAGGGCACACCTCACAACCATATGGGGCGGGACGGTGGGGGCCCTGAGAAGAGTGGTGCTCACTGGATGACTGATTCTAGGATGGAGCTGGAGGACTAAAGTCTTAGGACCCAAAGGACATCTCCTATGAAGCCTTGATTCCCCCTCAGGGATGCTTGGCCACCTGGCCATGCTGAGGGGACCCTGTTTGCCTCCAGAACACCCTCCGCCCATGACCTTGGGAAACCACCAGCAGCTGAGTGCTGGATTGAGGCAACGCGCCTGCAAGTACAGCATTACCTCACCCCCCTCTGCCCGTCTGTCACCTGGCCAGTGGCCATTACAACCCACCCTGAGTCTGGTTGTTTTGGTCCATCCATCTCTGTGCACCTTGAGTCTATTCCCTGGGTTCCTGAAGTGTTATGGACATGTGTAAATATAGCCCTGTTCCCCTCTCCCACCCCATTCAACCTAAAGCCATTGTCTGGTGGAAAGAAGGCACAGAACCAGGCATCTTATGTGCACCTTTAATAAATGGAGTTGTTGAATCTTGCTCTACATGGCCCCATTTCCAAATGGGAGAGGACAGGGTGGAACTGGAGTACTTTGTGGGTTTTCCATCAGATTGCCTGCCCTGGGTGGATGTGCTAGAGGCAGACTGGCTGCGGGATTTGTGCAGGGAGAACACTCAAAACAGGTGGATGTGAAGGGGAAGGTAGGTGCCTGATACCAGGGAGGAGGAGGTGTGCTCAGGAGCCCCCACAATCAGATTCAAGTAGCCCCACCTGAAGGCCAGGGATATGCAGGGAGGGGTGATCTCCCAGTTCAGAGCAGCAGGCACCTTCGATATTAGGAGATGGGCTGGGGGCCCTGGACAATGTAGCCTCCGTGTCCACTGCCCTAACTGGAGCCAAACCAGTATTTTCCGTTTTCAGGGTTCTCTCGGCCTTCGGTAGGCACCCTTTTTTCAAGGGAAAGAAAAATACCTGGGATGCTGGGTCACCCATGTCAAGGACTTGCCCTGTTGGGTCCAGGTGCTTCCCTAAGCTCCAGGGGAACCCTGGAAAGGAGCAGCTCACAGAGACACTGCCAGATGGCTGATGGCAGGGGTATTTCATCTGAGGGACTTGGTGGGGACACCCATGATAGGCCTTGCCTGCTAGGATGGAGGTGGCCAGATGAGAGCTTCAGGCAAGTAACCAAACAGCTTCTATCTTGGGAGCCCAGGCCAACACCCCCATCTGATGGATCCCATAGTCTATTGGTCAGTCCTGCATCCCAACCATGAACCAGATGGGCAAGTGCTACCCTGGGGGAGAGCCCACACCTTAGATCTGAGTGCTTGGGGCCACTGGAGGCCCCCTCTCAGATCTGGGCCCTGCTGAGCAATTGTTCCTACATGGACAAGACCACCATGGGCAAAGGAAGGGACAGAACCCCCATTGTCTTCTGGAACCTCTGGGGGCCCCACAGAGGTTCACACAGAGACAAGCTCAGTCTAATCGGTGATCAGTGAAGCAGGGTCACCAAAGGAAGAGAGGGGAAGATGGGTTCTGATGCCCCACACCAAGGGGCACCAGGCTGCCAGCAATCAGGCCCAGAAAAGCCTGGGGGTGAAAGGCATTCGCAAAGCCTGTCCTGACCCTTGGTAATGGGCCTGTGCCGGATGAGGCAGGTACACCCCTCATTCCACACTGTCCCTGCTGCAACCACACACAGGGCAGGCTCTGTCCCCTGGGGTCTCTGGGTCCTAGGGTAGGGCTTGTCCACAAAACAAAGAGCCCAGAATCTGCTTCTGGGACCTGGAGGCCCATATCTGAGGTGTACCAGGCCAGGATCAAAAGTTCCAGGAGGCTGTGGGGCGCACTGTCTGGGAGCTGTGTGCTCAGGTGAGTCCGAGGGCCACGTCAGCCTGAGGAGGTGGCCAAGGGCCCTGGCAGTGCCACTTGCTTCACCTGGATGACATCCTGTTCCAGTTCCTGGCTGGCCTGCCGAAGGTCATCACACCTCTGTCTTAGCTCCTCACTCGCCTGCTTCAGCCGCTGATTGGTGGCCACGAAGGCCTGGCTCTGCTGGTAGAGCTGGTCCCACTGGGCCTCAGGGTTCTCAGCCCTCCAGGAGGGGTCTGAGGTGTCTGGGGACAGAACACAGCCCACTGGTCAGGGAAGGGGGAGAGCAAAGACAAGGCTCCCCAGCAAAGCATGTGACCAGAGAGGATGGTCACAGAAGAGGCCCTGCCTGGGATTGGACACCACTCCTGTAAAAAGCACTGACCCCACAATGGAACCCCTGAGCAGGCTGGCACTCATGCCTGTTCTCAAAGCCTAGAATGCAAACTCCTGCTCTCTGAAAAACTATCCTATGGCCCTGTAACCTTGCAAAATCCAACACTGGTAGTCAGGAGGCCGCAAAAACAGGAGGGCATGAAAATATGTCTCTAGGTGACCCCACTTCCTAACAACAGTGTGCCCAGCCAAAGGAAGTGTGTGTGTGTGTGTGGGGGGGGGGAACAGGACAGAAAAAGCACAGCTTCAGGGTCACCCAGAGACATGTCCAAGTCCTTTCTGCTCTCCCTGTACTGTGTAAATGGGAACAAAATGGCCTGCCCTGCCCAGCAACTGTCTGCTGTTACAGCTCTGCAGGACAAATGCCTGGCACAGGCCCTGGAAACTCCGGTACTTATCAGTCACTTCCCCCTACACCCCCACACCTGTTTTAGTAATAAAGTGGGAGACAAGCCCTAAAGCACACATGGAAACTAAGTGTGGTCCCAGATCAGAGTATGGGCCCACTGGGAAAGCACCTCTTCTTTGATCGGCCCTAGCTCTGCCTGTGCCTCAGCTTCCCCACCCTCCAGATGCGGGCAGACCTGCACAAGATTCTTCAGCTAGGGCTCCAGAAGCCTCAGATGACCCAGGCTGGGGCTCAAAACAATTTGTGTTCCTATGGCTGCCCACCCGACAGAGCATTTCTGGTGATGGAAGAGTCCTCCGTCTGAGCTGTTCAATACAGCTGCAGCCTCAAGTGCCTCCTGAGCACTTTGAAATGTGGTTACATGGAGCAAAGAACTGAATTTGTTTACTATTACTTAATTTTAAAGAATATTTCCCACATTACCCACTAGACTCCAGTTTACTATTTCTGGTTTCTATGGCCCGAGGGCAGAGCTGTCATCTCCTTGGTTCACCTTTTCACTCCCAGTGCCTCGAACACAGCCTGGCACATAACAGGTTCTTAATGAAGATTTGTTTAACAAGTAAGCAAACCTCACCGCCTGAAACACAAAATTCACCCAATGACTGTAGGCCAAAGCCCTCAGTCACTAACCAGCTACCATCTCCACGAGGGACTGACCAATTTTTCCCACAAAAGGCCAGACAACACACAGTTTTGGCTTTGCAGAGCCAGCCAGTCAGTCTGTCCCAACTATTCAGCTCTGCCATTATATCCTGAAAGCAGTCAGGCCGGCACATTCACAACCAGGCATGGCTGTGCATCAACAATTTACCAACACAAACCATTTCATAACATTTCCACTTGTCACGAAATAGTCTCCCCTCACCCTACGAATTAAAAAAAAACTCCCTGGCCTTACAAGAACAGGCGGTGGGGGGAATTTGGCTGCAGACCCCAGTCCTAGACGCCCCTCTGAACACGCGCCCCCTTTATTGTAAGAAGAGGGGGGGCTCATGGAGGGCAAAATCGTGCCACAACCTCTGCTCGAAATCCGCGGTTTCCACGGGCTGGGGTGTGCTTCGCCCCCATTCCGCCACCCCGCACATTTCGCTGCTGGCGTCTTGGAGCGGCCTCTCTCCTGCCGGTGCTGGGCTCCCCCTACCTTCCGGGGCCAGGGCGGTGAAGACTGGGTCCTCAGCGGGCGCTCCACGTACATCCTCGAGGATCTGCTCCATCGTGGGGGGTGCCGGTCGAGTGGGCAGCACCACGCGCTTCTTGGCCTTCGAGACCATCATCCCTAGAGGCTACAGAACGGAGGAGCATTACAGAGGAGTCCACCTCTCGGCCTTCGCGAACTCCTACACACCCGCCCCGCCCCGCCCCACCCCTTCTGACTCGCTTCTACACTTCAGCGTCCCAGGTTGGTGTGTGTGGGGGTTTGACTTCTCAGTTCCCCGGCTGAAGTCACCTCGCCTCACCTAGACTAGCCCCCTTCAGCGGCATGCGCCAGTGAAACTACTTCTGCTTCCGGTTGGAGCGCGCGTCTCCCTCCAGGTACTGACGTAAACTTCCGGCCTCCTCCTCCTCTTGCGAGATCACGCCCCCTCTTAAAGAGGCCGCTCCTGGGAGGGACTTGGGGCACACGAAAGGAGGTGCGACCGAACTAGAACTAGGAAGGAGGCGACCTCAATCTCTCCAGCGCGCTGAGCCTGGGAACGCCAAGCCTGGGAGCGTGGGGTCCAGTTCCAGTTTCCCTTCTTGCGTAATAAAGCACCAGAGACCCAGTTTTCTGTAAAAGGGGGACATAGTCCCCACCCCACGTAGCTGTCCTGGGAACAAAGTTGTTGTTCACGCAAGGTAGCCTGGCTCACAGTGAGCGCTCAGTGAATGCTAGCTGCGTGAATCACCAGCGAGGTGACCAGAGACGCAGGACACGTGGCAGCATCTCGCCTGCTGGATCTGGGTTAAGATCGCTCCTGTGACCTCTAAAAACCCCTCCCCTGTGGGTGGTGCCGGATGGGCATCTCGGCTAGAATGGGAAGACAGGCTCAGAGCAGAGGGCAATTCTTAAAAAAATTTTATTTGATGTTTTTTAGAAACATTGATTTGTTTTCCCCTTATTTATGTGTTTATTGGTTGATTCTTATATGTACCCTGAGGAGGGATTGAACTGCAACCTCTGCTTATAGGGACCATGCTCTAACCAACTGAACTATTTGGCCAGGGCTATTTGTGTGTGTGTTTGTGTGTGTGTGTGTGTGTGTGTGTGTGTGTGTGTGTGTGTGTGTGTTTTAACAGCTTTACTGAGTGCAAATTACATACCATAAAGTCCACATGTTGAAAATGTACAATTCTATGGTTTGGGAATATATTGGTGTATATATTTACAGAGTTATGCAACCATCACCACAGTCTAATTCTAGAATGTTTGCCTCACCCCAAAAAGAAGCCTATTAGCAGTCACTCCCCCACCACCAATCCACTTCTTGTCTCTGTGGATTTGCCTGTTCTGAACATTTCACATAAATGGAATCACACACTATGTACCTTGGGTGTTTCACTTTTCTCACTGAGCATCATGATTTCAAAGTCCATCCATTTTGTATCAAGTATCAGTGCTTCCCTCTTTTTTCAGGGCTGAGTAATATTCCAGTGTGTGGAGGACTGGAAGACTATGTGTTTATCTGTTCATCTGCCTATGGACGCTTGGGTTGTTTCTATATTTTGGCTGTTGTGAACCCTGCTCTGTGAACACACTTGTACAGGTTTTTGTGTGGACATTTGCTTTCAGTTTTCCTGGCTACATACCTGCAAGCAGAATTTCTGGGTCACTAAGTAAGTGTGTTTAATAGCCTGCCCAACTGTTTCCCAGGGGGCTACCCCAAGCTGGTGCATTTTGGCTGCTTACTGTGTGCCAGCTGGGAAAACTGCCTCTTGTGATAGATACTTGGAGGCATTTGGTGAGATATGTGCTGTTGGTGCACAGCACAGGGGAGGCCACAGCGGCTCTGAGAGGCTGGCCAGGTGCCCCTGAACACAGAGTCTTGCCCTGCCAGGGCTGGGCTCACCCTCCAACCTAAATCCAGAGCTGAGGGTTAAGTGGGGTGAGACTCTGGGTGCCTGGGCAGGACTGGGAGGGCAGCTGAGGGAGGGAGATGAGATTCCACCCTTGCTGACCACCTGCTTCTTGTGGGTCCAACTGGGCATCCATGTCTCCTCCTCCAAGATCTAGGCCAGGGGTCCATGACAGTGTCTGGGTCCAAGTGCTGAGGCATAAGCCTCTCTCTGTCCAGCAGCAAAGCCCTCAACAGATCCTTCCCCCCTTCAAGGCTCGAAGTTGGCCAACCTGAGCCCAGTGGCAGAGTCAATTCCCAGGTTCCCAGGGCCACAACAGGGAATGGTTTCTGGGGCCTGTGGGCTCCTACAAAAGGCAAAGCCTGCCCCTCTGGTCTGAGTGAAGCCCCATAGTCAAGGGCACAGGCCAACCTTCACTTCCTTGTGGAGGTCCCCTCCCGACTCTGGAAATTGGGACAAACATGTCCCTACCCCATTGGTGTGAGGACAGAGGAGGAGCATTTAATAGCTTACCCTGTACCTCCTTTCCCACCCCCACACCTCAGGATCCTCTTTCTATTCCAGATGGGTGGGAAACCCACTTTGCAAATGGGGAAGTCAAGGCCATGAGGGGATGAGAGCAATGTACCTCAGGCCCATTAATTCCCTCAACCTCTCCACAACCTTCAGAGAACAGAGAACAATTATTGGAAGCTCATAGATACCCTTCTACTATTTGTCAGTATCAATGGGATGGAAAGGGAAAGGTGGGCCAGGTCCTAGAAGCTCAGCTCTCCGAGCACGTTAGGCATTACTAGGTATCCCCACCCATTTCCAACCCCCCACAGTTGAGATCTCTGGGCCCAGGCTGACCCCCTTTCCTTTGTGGGTTGCTGGGTTCCCTGGGATGTGGCACTTACAGTCTTGACACCTCCTATTCAACCTTTATTTGCAAACACAAGTCAGACATAGTACCCAAGACTCTGGATAGTGTTGCTGGCTCTCCCTCCACCTTCCCCAAGATTCTGGGGTTGAGAAGGGATAGTGGTCGAGGTTGTGATCTGACCTCTGCCCTATCCCACCGCACCCCCCACCCCACCCCACCCCACTCCACCATCTTAACTGTGTAACTAGACATCTCTCTATCTCTCTCTTTCACCTGGACCTGCCAAGTCCAGATTGCAGAATTCCACACAGGCCACCCCAGGCCTGTGGGTCTGGTGGCTATCCAGGGCCATCAGAAGCAGGTTCTCACCCCTGCCGCTGATCTGGAATGAGAGAGCAGGGCAGCAGTGCCTGCCAAAGACCTAAGCTAAGGCGTACATTGGCTTTCCTTACTGGATGTCTCTGGTGTCCAGCCAGCAGTTGGGACTGGGTGGTGACAGGGGTGGTCTCCAGCATCAGGGAGAGGCCCACACAGGGGAGTGGGCAGCCTGTGGAGAGGATGCTACAGAGGAGGGGGCTCACAAAGGCTATTGCCAGCAGGGTCAGCACCGTGGCCTGAGCCAGGCTGTGGTCTCTACAGCAGGGGTAGGTAGTCTCCATGGACTGGGGATGGCCTTTGTGGGGGGTGGGCCCTGAGCAGGAGCACCCATGCGCATCCAGTATGTATGGCAGGCAGCAGGTGGTTCAGCTGAGCGGGAGCCTCTGTGGCAGGTATAGCAGAAGTGCAGCAGGTATGGCAGGCACCCAGACCGAGCAGTCACTGCCTGGTGGGTGTGACTGAAGTACTATGATGGGCAGTGGGAGAGGTAGAGGTGGCCCAGGATGGAGGTGGGGCTGTGGCATTCTGCAAGGGGGACATGGACACAAAGGTGAGGCCAAAGCCTGCAGCTCCGTCCCACCTACCCGCCCTGGACTGCACACACACACTGCCAGCAAGTGGGCCATGCCACACCGGACACTCACCCTGGCATGGCCCCTCTGTGTCCCACTTCACACACACGGTGCTGGTCACCTGGGAGCCTGTGGGCCTTGCTGTCATGTCCTCAGCCGTCCCATAGAGCAGAAGCGTGTAGCGGTATAGCGTCCCTGGGCAGGAGTCATGATAAGCATGGGGATAAGCAGCAGAGGTTACTGGCAGCCTGATTCTGCCAATCTGGGCCACACTTCCCAGCCACCCCAACCCCATCCTGGAGCCTCAGACTCAGATGGTGCCCCAGCCCCCCAGCAGCCATTGCAGGCTGGTAACTGAATAGCTATTCTGGTTACTGGACACCTACTATGCAAGCAGACCACGGGGAGCCCTTCTTTAGCGGGGTAACCAAGGCTGGCCTCAGAGCCCCAAGCCTCTCACCTGTGTTGAAATAGTAGCCCTTGTTTTCCAGGCTCAGGGTCCACAAGCCCTGCGGGTCCTCATCCCAGAAGTGGGTGGACATAAAGATCCAGTTGTTGTAGCCTTGGCCACTGATGTCAAAGGGTCTGGGACAGACAGGTGTGGGTAGGGCAAAAGAGGGGCTCTGGAACCACAATCATGAAGAGGCCACTGAGCCACAACAAGTGTCTGACTGCAATGCCAAATGCTGGCTGTAGAGCCAGCCCCCATGGAGTTGGCCCCTCCCTGTGCAGACCACACTGGACCCCACACTGTACTAGCCCCTCCCTGGGTGAAATCACAGGGCCAAGTCCCTGCCCTTGTACCTGATGGCAACAAGGGTGGAGCGGGTGCCCATGGGGCTGGTCAGTGAGATCTCCAGGTCCCCCCGGCGGCTGTAGGACAGTGACAGCTGCACCTGCACATGCTCCAGTGAGCGGATGTAGTTGGCACGACCAGCACAAGCCAACACTTTCTTCCTCACGTGCGTCAGTGGCAGGATAGGGCTGGGGGGGGCCATGGGGGTGTGGGGGTCAGGGTCCCTCCTGCTGGCCTCCTTGGGGCATGGCAGCCAGCTGGCAGGGTCTGAGCTCAGGTTATGGGGCCCACTCTCTGGGGTTACTGAGGCCTCAGGGCCTGCCTTCCATGTGTCTGCCCCCTGGGTGTTACTGATAGGTGTGGGAGAGGGCTGGAGTGGTAACAGGCATGGAGGGAGGAATGAGGAGGTGGTAGGTGTGCACAGTGGTGGGGACTGAAGAAGGTGCTCACGTGGGGGTGTGCAAGACATGAATGATGCATTTCTTCTGGGGCTGTGTGGGCAGCCATGCTCGAGCCAAGTCCACCAGCAGCCCAGCATCCAGCAGCCCGTAGCCATAGTGGTGGCTCACTGCATGGAGGAGGGCCGTCATACACCCTGTGGGCATGGTGTCCCCACCTCCACCCGGCTCTGCCGCACCTTGGCGCCCCACACCATTGGTTCTCCAGTCCTCGGCCTGGAGATGTGCCTGCCTGGATGCACGAACCACCAGGTGCTGCATGTCTCTCCATGTCAAGAATGGGCTAGAGGCAGATGAGAGGGTAAACTGGGGCTACAACTGGAAGGCCACAGTGGTAGGCAGGGTGTGGCCCACAGTGCTAGGTAGGGTCCCCCACTGTCACCTACTTGGCCTCCAGAGCCAGAGCAATTATGCCTGCAGCTAGCGGGGCAGAGGCCGAAGTGCCTGTGTGCTTGTCAGTGCACTGGTGGTGCAGGTCTGTGGTGACCTGGGGGCAGAGATGGGGACTCAGGGAGCCTGGTACACATGGAAACCCAGCCCTTGTTCACATGGAACCAGGGATTCAAGAAGGCATCACAGACCATTACACCAGAGGAGGGGCCTGAGTGCTGCCCATGTCCACACCCCAGAAACATAGGCTGGAGGTATAAGGGGGCAACAGTGGGGCAGGGCCTGGGACCTGTGTTCCAGCACTGCAGGAGCAACCCCTGGATGGAGGGAAGATGGGGGAATAGGAGGGACAATGAGGGGACAGGACAGTAGGTGAGGGGTCAGGAGGGAAGGTGGGGGACCAGAGGGAAAGTAGGAATACAGGAGGGAAGTGGGGACACAAGAGGCAAGGTTGGGGCACAGAAGGTAAGGTAGTGGGGCATAAAGGAAGGTAGGGGGACTGGAGGGAAGGTGTGGGGAACAGGAAGGACAGTGGGGAACTAGAAAGAAGGCAGGAGGATAGGAGGGAAGGTGGCGGGGATTGGAGGGAAGATGGGCAAGATAAGAGGGAAGGTGGGAAAGCAGGCTTTGCCAGGCAGGGTGAGCATGGTGGTGGGGCCCACTCACAATCTGGGGGTCAGTAACAATGCCACTACTGTAGGTGGTGGTGAGAGTGGAAGCACAGGCCTCACTGTACCAGGGCACATGACCGTGCTGGGTGGTACTGCCGACGGAGAGGGTATGGATGCTGTTGGTGTAGCCGTCGCAGTTGCAGTTGTCATAGTGCAGGCCACCATTGCCAGATGCCCAGATGAAGAGCGTGCCTAGCCCACCTCGGCCCTGCAGATGGAGATGGGACAAAGGACAGGAAAGGGGATGGAGTAATCAGCCTTTCATGCAGGCACAAACCCTCCAAAGCCCCAGGTCCCCCACTCACCTTGGTCACGCCACGCCTGAAAGCCTCTTGGGTGAGGATGCCGGGACCGTCCACTGTTCGGCCATCATCCTCGGGGCCCCAGCTGGCACTATAGATGTGGATGTGCTGCGGCTGCAGGCTCAGTGACTGGGCCTCGATGACATCAGTGATGGTGCCATCCAGCATGCGCACACCTGCACAGGCAGTTGTCAGTCCTCTGCAGACAGCCCTGCCAGCACGCCTCCCTGTCCAGGCCAGCTCCAAAAGCCCTGGCCAGCTCCTCTCTCTGTTCCCAGGGAGTGGGGACAACTGGTAGTCCCTACCCTGAGTCTAGGGCTCCTGAATTGCTGAACCACCAGGGCATGGACACCAAAAAGCCCCCTCCCCTGTTTGATTTGCTAACTGTCCCTGGCATTACCAGCCACCCAGTGCCACCTGGTCCAGCCTCTGTCCCTAGTAGGCCAGAGTACCTCCTATTCGGGCGTTGTAGGCGACGCCTGTACCGCAGAACCTGTTGTTAGCTATGGCTGCCACTTCCCCAGCACAGCGGGTCCCGTGCCTGGTGCCAGGGCAGAGAGGGGTGCCCGTCACAGCTCACCTGGTCCCCCACAGGGCACAAGGGCCATCCCCAGGTCATGTGGGACACATGGCTCACCGGTTCTCGTCACTGGGTGTGTATCGTGGCTGAGGGTCTGGATCATAGTCATTGAAATCGTAGCTGGCCAGAGGGTCCTGGGGGTGGGGGGGGGATGTGAGAAGGTAGGAGTGGGCCATGGGACTGAGGAGGGTGTGGAGCAGCCCCTGCCCCAGTCCACCACAGGCTCACATAGTTTGCCCAGAGATCTGGATGGTCCTTCTCAATGCCATCATCCAGGATAGAGACCACGATACCCTGGCCCGACAGCCCCTGGCTCCAGACTTGCAGGATGTTTAGGTCTGGCTGCACTTCACTGTTCTGTGCCAGGTGGGCTAGAGTTAGTGGGGCTCCCAAATGGCCCAGCCCAGCCACATGACCCAGCCTGCTCACCATGTACCACTGCTTGGAGAACCAGGGGTCTGTGGGTACCACTGAGCGCTTCACCCGCCACTGCAGAGTCTGCTGCTCAAACCACTGCACCTGCAGGGGGACATGTGCCAAGGTGGGCGGCTGGACCAACAGGGCTAGCCCACCCTCCCATCAGCTATCCTGCTGTCACACCCATAAGCACTTTAGAGGATCCTTTCCCATGGATGAGGAAGATCTGCTCATCTTCCCACCAATTCCCAGTTAAAGGACCCAAGCCTGCATCTAGAGTCTTCATCCCAGACCTCTTCCCAGGGTCCACTAAAGGGCAACTGTCCATGAGGCTGTGGTTGGAGTGAAAGGTGGGTTTGAGTTGTCCACTGCTGTTTCTGGGGCCCTTGTAGTGTGGAGCAGGGCCTGGGACCCTCTGTTTTCTGGGGCTGCCCTTCAGAATCACCACATGCCTGGGGCTCTGCCTTCGGAGGGCGCCAAGGCACTTGGAGCACCTGTCCCCAGGGCCCACAGACAATTGGCCACTGCCTGGGATGACTGGGGGTCCTGGGATCCCAGCTCTGTCCCTTCCCCTGTCCCTCTTCTAGATTTCTCTGCCAAAGATCTGCCCATCTTCCCTCTGCAGTGGCCACTTCTACCACTCTCTGGTCCTCTAGCTGTGCCCCCCACTACCCACCACCCCCAACCCACTCTCAGCACACAGCAGCAGTAGCACTCTCTGTTGAAACCTTCCATGGCTCCCCCCACCTCACCTTCTCCAGGACTCACAAGGCCCTGCCTGTCTGGCCCTTACTAGCCTCCTTCTGCTGCTGCCACAGTGGCTGCCTCATTCAGGACTTTTGCACAGGTTGTTCTGCCTGCCCAGGCTGTTCTTCCTCAGATCTTCACTCTTCCTTATTCCTCGTTCATCTCCTACCTCCCATCCCCACCCCCCACCAAGCCAGCTCATGTCCACCACCCCATCTCAGCAATCAGGGCCATCGTTTTCCCATTTGCTTTGCTCCAGTCTTGGGAGCTGGCCCTGATTTCTCTCCCTCTGTCTTATGCATCTCAGCCATTGGCAAGCTGTAGGTTCTCTTTTGGAAACCACATCTCCAACTGGCCAGTGTTCCCTGTTGCCAGTGCTTCAGGAGGGTTTCGAACAGTCAGGCTTTTTGCCTCCTTGCCAATCAGCCACCTCGCCCAGTTCATACCCTTTATGGCTCCCAAGGGCTTGACAGACTCAGCCTCAAAACCTTAGCTTGGTGTCTAAGGCCTTTTCCTGTCATCTCTTTGAGTGTCTGGAGATAAGGTGCTTGGTCCCAATTCAGCCATGTTCTCATTGTGTGACTGCAGGCAGGATTCCTCCTCTTTGGAACAGTTTCCTTTGTCACAAAATGGGACAGTTCCCCTCCTTCCATCCCATGAGCTAGAATGTTAACTGCCCCTCTTTATGGGGTATCTGGGAACCTTAATCTTTTCAGATGAGATAGAGGGAAGGTGGAGTTTTGATAAGGAATGCTGATAGTGTGCCAGGCCCTGAAATGTGCACTGTGCACACATGTGTGATCTCTTGCTCTTCATGGATCTTCCCCATCGGGGTCCCCACTGTATAGACTGGAGAGCCAAGTGGAAACTAAGACTCAGAGAGAGCAGGTGAGTTGTCAAAGGTCACAGCCATTCATAACAATCACAAGAATAATGGTGTGTGTGTGGAGGGGAGAATAACAGGGCGATGACTAAGACCCCGAGGAGGCAGCCTCCAAGGCCAGGCTCACCTTAGGGTCTTTCTTCAGGCGCAGGCGGTGGCCCCAGTGCGGGGTCAGGGACTGCTGGACCACGCCCCGGTGCCGCAGGTGGAAGTACTGCCCGTCAGGGAAGATCTGGGAATGTGGAGGTGCAGTCGCATCGCTGGGACCCAATTCCCCTGATGGAGCCCAGGTCGGACTGGAGCCAGCCCCCTTGCTTGTATCCCCCAGGTGCCCAGGTGTGGGCTTCAGGTGTCCTCTGAGAGTGCCAGAATCTGAAGTTGGTTGAGGGAGTGGTTGGTTGGGGTTTCTTGGTATCTAGGGTACCTGAGGGTCTGGGGTCTTGGGTCGTCCCGTCCCCGCCCCCTCTCGTTCATCCGGGTCCCACCCACCTGCCCCAAGTTGACGAAGCCGAATTTGCGCGCCAGACGCTCGGCCTCCCGGTAACCCTGGGACACCCGCACGGCCCAGCTGCTGACATAGATGGGGGCCCTGGTTGAGGCCAACCCCACAGAGAGGGGGCAAACGAGGGCCAGGCACAGGGGCAAGACCAGGCGCCACCAAAGGGCAGTCTGAGTGGGCCGCATGGCGGTGGGGGCGGGGCCTCCAAAAGCCCCACCCCCTGTCCAAACCGCCGAGTCAGCCCAAGCGCTCGCCCAGCTCCCGGTGCCATAGCAACCCCTGAAAAGTCTCAACTCCCAGGGGCCCTTGCGACTCCCCTGAGGGGCACAAAGATCCGACAGAAATGGGAGGATGGACACACGCAGACCCAAACTCGCGGGAACTTCAGTCTCCATACTTGTACAATGACCCAGTTCTTCTGACCCAGAGACGCGAGTTCATTGTTTTGATTGACCCCGCCCCTTTGTTTAGCACCGCCCCTTCCAACACACCGCTCCCTCTGGAATCAGCCCTGCCTCCACTCCCGTCCAACCAGAATTGTTCTTTAGAGTGATTTCACCTCCTCAGTTTAGTTCCGCCTCTTACCCACCATTCAGATTCCGCCCCGCCTCTGAATAATATGCCCCGCCCCTCCTCTATTCTTCCCAATTAATTATTTCCTTTTCGCCAATCACCTCTGGTCTTTCTCCGGCCCCTCCCACCAGCTCCGCCTACCTCAGCATGCTTCCCTCCTCTCCCAGCTCCACTTACACAACCGCTCAGCCAATAATCCTTGTCCTTGACCCCGCCCCTCCAATCAGCTACGTCCCACTACTGTGCCGCTAATCCTGGTGCACTCAGCCACTGGCCCCGCCCCCTCCCTTAAAGTCTCCCCTGCGGCGCCCACTGCTGGCCAGAGGGCAATGCGGCGGGGGAGACGGGGCAGGCCCCACCTCCTTTGTCCGCCCTGCCCTCCCATTGGCCGGTGCAGGGGGCAGGGGGCGGAGACCAGCCAGGGGGCAGAGACTAGCCCCGGAGCCAAGCGGTGCGGCTCTCTCAAGGCAAAGGCTGCACGTGCGCGGCGGGGCCAGTGCGCGGCACTGAAGTCGAGCTCGGGCTGCCAGCCCCGGGCCCGCCGGTGCCATGGACGGCCTGCGCCAGCGCTTCGAGCGCCTTCTGGAACAGAGGAACTTGGCCACAGAAGCACTAGGGGCGCTAGAAGCAAAGACCGGTGTCGACAAGCGGTACTTGGCCGCGGGTGAGCCGTCGGGGGCGCTCGGGGCCGTCGCCCCATTTCACCGACGGGTACAATGAAACCTTGGGGCACCTGAGCCTCAGCCCTGCTTCCCTCCGGCTTGCCTCGGCTGCAGGGTCCGGGCCGTATGGAGGGGCGCACCCCCTTGTCCAGCAGGGAGACCAAGATCCTGGCTAGGGACAGGTGGTGGGCTGCGATCTCGGGTGAGCCCGCAGCCCCTCCCCCTGTCCCTCTCTCAGCTTCTGCAGCACCCCCACTCTAGCCTGGTCTAGAGGCCTTCCTCTGCCCCCTCCCTTGGGGCACTGGGTGCCCGCCATGTCCAAGTCCGGTTCTTCCAGTTGCCCTGCTGGCCCCAGGGATGGAGAAGAGGAGGAGGGGGCAGAGAGGCAGCCAGTTCCCCGAGTGTCTCTTCACCCTTTTCCAGATGTCCCCCAGCCTGAATGCAAGTGTAGAGATCTTGTGTTTTTTTCAGAAGACATGCTTCCTGCCAGGAAGGAGGGTCGCTCCCACCTCCTAGTACCATCCCCTTGGCCTACCTTCTCCTCTCACCGATCAATGGCTTTGGTCCACTGAACACGAATAGTTGAGTTGGAGTTGGGTTGTCTGGGAGTCCAGGGAGAAGGGGCTCTGTCCACCCCTGACTGTAACTTCCATTCTAATCTCTTCTCTTTCCTTCTCAATGACCTGGGGTGGCTCATTGCCACTTTCAGAAACTGTTTAGTAAGGTGTTAAATGCTTTCCTTCCCTCTTTTGCACTGTTCCAGGCCCACCCACTCTGCCACCTCTTCTAGGAAGACCCCTTGGAGTGAATCACAAGGACATTGGTGGAGGGGTGGGCTCTGGGTGAGGACAGTGCCAGGTGTATTGAGAGCACCTTCTATGTGCAGATGCTGCAAGTCCACTTTCTTCCCATTTTCCCACCAGCTGAGACATCCCCATGCCAGGCAGCCCAAGGAGAGTCCAGAATTTCCCCCAGGTTCCCATTGCCCAACTCATTTCTGCTTAGCCAGGGACCTGTCCTTGGGAACAAACCATTGACCTCCTGCCTGGCTTTCATCCTTAGTACCAGTGGTTGGGCAATTAGGTTATAGAGCAATGGGGAGGGGCCCGGAAAAGGCCTGACAGGGAGGCTAATAGTTACAGGGAGGAAACTAAGGCCCAGAGAGGATGCCCCTGCCACCTGCCTTGTCTGGAGTATCCACCCCTCCCCACCTCCCTGGGCCCATCTGTTGTTGATCTCAGGCCATGCCCTCCCCAGCCCATGTCCAAGGTTATCCTCATATTGCTGAGGCTGCAGGAATAGGGATTGAGGGGAGGCTTGCCCTGGGAGAGAGCCAATGCTCCCCGACTTGCAATTTCTGGGAAAGAGGTGACATTCCCTTATCCCTTCATCCAGATGTGGGAACTCTTGGGCTCTACCTGCCCCAGATGACCAAATCTCCAACCCCAGGTGACAGGGAAACCCAGAGGAGTCAGCTGGGGAGGCTCTTCTCCACTCTTGACCCTAGACTCTCTAATAATAACTAATACAGTGGAGGGAAGGGTGTGGATGACTCTGCCCTTTGGTCCAGAGTGGTTTCTATCTCTCTCTGCAGATTATCGCCTCAGAGAGGGAGGTGGGAGGCTGTAAATGCTCCTGAGTTACCCTGGGCAGGCCCTTCTTCCCAACAGCTTAGTTCTGGCCATTGCATGAGACAGAACAAGGAAGCATACAAGAAGCACTTAATAAATGTGATAGTTACCATAATCGTTTTCAGAGTGGCTAATGCTCCTGGTTCCCCACACCCCCACACTATTCTCTGAGCTTCATTGCTGGAAGTGTTTTCCTGACCAGAAGTCCCTCAGTAATATGTGGAAAGGACGAGTGCACCCTGCTGAGTGTGTTTAGCTAACCCCAGGACAACCCTAAGAGGCAGGGCCACTACCACCCCATTGACACATGAGAGAACTGAATCTCCAAGCAAATAGAGACTTGTTCAGTGTCATGTGGTGAGTGAATGGAAGAACAGAGGGCTCCCCAAGGTCTGAGAGATTATACAGCCCTTCGCTGCCTCCCACTAAGGCAAGGGGTCTCAAATAGGGCCACATTGCCTCCATTAGTACACTGGGCAGTGTCTGGGGACATCTGTGGTGTCACGACTGGGGGTGCTTCTGGCATTGAGTGGGTGGTGACCAGGGAGGATGCTCAACACCCCACAGTGCCCAGGACAGGTCCCTGAAGAAAACGACCTGACCTGCATGTCAGTCAAGACTGAGAAATGCCACCCACACTAAGATGAAATTTTAAATCTCATTGTCTTTGCTGCTCACCAGTAGTCATGTCTTAACAGAATGGCTTCAATTTTAGGTTTTTTTCCTGTTACTTATATTTAAATACTGGCATCATGTGCCTAGCTTCTCCTATAGGTCCCAGAGTGAGATGGTTAAAATTACAGATGATTACTTATTCATTCAACAAATGTTTATTAGACAAATACTCTGTACCTACCAGGGCCAAGGACCCTGCCCGTCTTTGAGCTCACAGTACTGTAGGGGGGGGACGGCCATGTTAAATAGTTTCAGACACAAGACAGGGTTCAGGGCCACAGTGGGGGTCTCCCAGGCGCTGTGGGGCAACAAACATCCTAGAGGGGTCTCCAAGGCTCATGACAGTTCTGTGTGGTGCATCTGCCAGGCCAAGAGGAAGCTGGATACCCTGCAGGCTGGGCATGGAATGGGCCAGACCCTTACCCACACCCCTTTTTTCTGCAGGAGCCACCACTCTGCTAAGCCTGTATCTTCTGTTCGGTTACGGGGCATCTCTACTGTGCAATCTCATCGGCTTTGTGTACCCCGCATATGCTTCGTGAGTGCCTATGGGCTATCCAGGTGGGGGGTGTCCAGGGGCTCTGGGTAGCCCCTGACCCTGCCACACCTCCCCCCAGGATCAAAGCTATCGAGAGTCCAAGCAAGGAGGACGACACTGTGTGGCTCACCTACTGGGTAGTGTACAGCCTATTCGGGCTTGTCGAATTCTTCAGCGATCTACTCCTGTCCTGGTTCCCTTTCTACTACGTGGGCAAGGTGGGCACCACTGCAACACACACACGACAGGGCCTCCTGGGAGCAGGCAGACGTCCAGAGACTGAAGGGTCTGAGGGACTTGCCCTGCTGCTTCCTGGGGTGTTTGATGGAGATGGCCCAGGCCCATCCCAAGGGGCGTCTGATGGGGGTGGCCAGGCCCATCTTAAGGGGCTTCTGATGGGGCTGGCCTAGGTCCACATAGCCCAGTGAGAGGTCTAGCCCCTCCTCATGGAGCCCAGATCAGGGGAGCCAAGCATAACAGCCACCCGTGCCCGCAGTGCGCCTTCCTGTTGTTCTGCATGATTCCCGGGCCGTGGAATGGGGCTCGAATGTTGTATCGTCGCGTCATACGTCCGCTGTTTCTAAAACATCACGAGGCCATGGACAGCGTTATGAGAGACCTCAGCGGGCGAGCCCTGGACGTGGCAGCAGGAATAACCCGGGACGGTGTGTGCTATAGGACATGGGGGTGTCCATCTGTCCCAGCCTGGGTCTGTCTGTGCATCTTTCAGCTTAGTCGCCCCCACTCACCTTCACTCCTGCCTCCCCTCCTCTTGACTCTGGCCTCCATCTGGCATCTTGGCAGTTGGCATCAGGCATTCTGCCTGCCCCTCTCACTGTCCATCTCTCTCTCCTATGCTCTCGGGAACCAGTCCTGCAGGCCCTGGCCCACAGCCAGACTCTCATCACTCCAGTAGCTGTGGTGGAGGGCCCCCCACTGCCCTCAGAGCCAACCATAGGTAACCTCCATCCCTAGGAACTAGGGCCTGTGTGTGTGCATGTGAGTGCATGCATGGTATAAGTTCATTTGTGTGAGTGCATGTAGATGACTGTCCCTACTAAGGTTGGCTGCTGACCCCACCCTGTCTCCCAGCAGCCTTCATCCCACCCTCCAGCAGCTGAGCACAGCCCCAGGGCTGAGAGCCTGGCCAGATCTACCTTACCCCATAACTTTTTCTCTGCAGCCAAAGTAAACGTAACCCAGTTCCAGCAGGACAAGTGAAGTCCCTGCCCAGCCCCCGAGCAGGCCTGCCGAACAGACAGCTAAAAGACACACTGCATCCCAAGTCCTCCATGGATCCCTCAACTAACTCCCCAGCGCAGACCGCCACTGTTCCGTCAGCCCCTGGGAGCTCCTCACGTACCACCTTAGGCCAATCCCAGCCTCAGTCCCGGGCCACAGGCCCTGCCAGTGGCTCCAAGCTGTCTGGCAAGTCCCAGGCCCAGCATGGGTTAAAAACCAGTTCTTCCAGCCAGCCCCAGGCCCCTGGCCAGCAGCACTCCCGGCCATCCACCAGTTCCTTAGGGCCCTCCCAGCCAGCCCACCGATCACCAGGCTCCTCGCAGCAATCACCAGGCTCCTCACAGCAATCACCAGGCTCCTCACGGCAGCCCAGCACCCCCTCCAATCAGGCCCCCCCCACTGTGCTGTTCCCCAGTGGTACCAACATCCCCGCGCAGCCCCCTCAAAATACCTCCAGTGGACCAGAGGAACTGGCCCCCAAGGCCTCCAAGTCCAGCAATCATCAGAAAGGGTCCCCAACACAAGCCCCAACCAGTACCTCAGCTCCTGAGCTTCCTGTCTCTTGCCAATCCGAGTCCTCTCTGGATTCCACCTCAGAGTCTACCACTGAAGTCACCTGCAGCTGGCCCCGCCACTGCCCCTGGCTCCAGTACCTGCACTGCTGGAGGCTGAAACACCTGGCCTGCTAGGGGAAGGCTCAATAAAGCACATCTGGCCAAGCCTCCTCTTACCATCTGTCCAGGGGGGAGGGGACAAGGGGGTTTGGGGGGATGATCAGAGATGAGATCATCTCTAATCAGAGATGAGAAGGTAAAAGCCCCACTTTACAGATGAGGAAAACAAGGACCAGAATAGAGGTCAAGTGGCCAAGATGAATCGGAGATGAGAATTCAAGTCCAGATTTTTCTTCTGGAAGGGGATCCCAGGAAGCTCCAGTAGGGAGTGGTAGGAGAAGGAGCCAAAGAAGTGGGCATGGCCAAGCCTGGAACAACTGTGGGCACCTGGAGCTCCAGGAGCCTGTGCCCAATGCACACCTGAGACTCTGCCCAGGTGCTCAGGGAGCCAGAGACTGTCCACCATGGTGGTAACTGGAAGAGAAGTGGCCATTTGTTCCATCCACCATCCCTCTGCGGGCAGCAAAGAGGCCTGCAGGCTGGCAGTCAATGTCAGACTGGCATTTGTGAAAAGTGGGAGAGGGGAGATGTGTGGACATTGATGGGGCCTCCTACAGCCTGCACTTGGGTTCCTTTGTGAGGCCTGCAATGACACTGATCATGAAACCAGGCAGAGATGGAACATGTAAGAAAGGTGACAAGCCTGGTGCATGGATATAGATGCAAAGAAAAAAAATCCAAAGAATAGCACATGTAATCCAACAATATACAAAGCACAGAACACCCCCTGTGCAAGTATAAGTTTCTGGAGGTGGATCCTGAGCTGGAAGCTGGGGGATATGGTGGGGTAGGAGAGGAGCTGAATCAAGAGGTGCTCTCAGTGGGGGCAGGAGTGCCTGGAGCCTGAACTGTACACGCAATGAGCTTGATCTTTGGCCTGGGGGGCAGGTTTTGTACCCAGGGGAGGGGGCTGTGACCCTGAGACATCTGCAGTCATAGCTGGGGGGGACCTGGGGCCCACACAGTGTCTTTCGGTCCACCCCTCTCACCACTCAGCCGCCATCCAAAGCTATGCTTCTCCTTGGTTCTACCACAGCTTCTGGTAGAAACACGAGAGGTTTGGCAGAATGAGCCACAAACTCTCACCCTGCAGGTGCTCCCAAGGCTGTAACATGGTTATTCTCAGCTGGGGGCAATTTTGTCTCAGAGGTGTTGGGCAATGATATCTGGAGACACTTCCAGTTTCTGCCTAAACGCATCAGCCAAGTCCCGAAATCCTTTGATGTGTCATGCCCCTCACCCCTTAGTAGGCCCTGCTTGTCCCCCAGCTGCGAGTGGCCTCTTCTAAAGCAGTTTCCTCCTAAAAAAAGGATGCAGCCCCATGCAGCCACCAACACCACTACCCTGTGTCCTCATCCTTGAGAACGCTAACAAGGAAAGTGGAAGTGCTGAGCTACTGCTGAGCAGCAGGTTCAAATCATTCATTCCATCACTCAGCAGATGCTCAGCACTTACGGTTTGCCAGGCCCTGATCCAGAAGCCAAGGTTACAGTATTGACCCAGAGAGATAAAAAATCCTGGGAGTTTGGGGAGGCAACAATTGTCAAGATAAATGTACAACATGTTAGAGGGAGGTGAATAATGGGGGGGAAAAGCAGCTGGGAGGTGAGGAGGCCAGGGCTGTAATGTCAGGGTCAAGGAAAGGCCTGTTTAAGGAAGTGACATTTGAGTAGAGACATGAAGGAGGGAAGGTGAAGGCATGAATCTTGTGAGAATCAGGGCAGGGGTGGTCCAGGCAGAGAGAAGAGCCTGTACAAAGGCCCAGAGGCAGGCCTGCGTCTGGCAGGACAGAGGAAGAACAGGAAGGACTGTATGGCTGGAGCTGAGTGAGTGAGGGGAAGAGAGGAGATGAGTATGGGGGTGGACCATGATGGTACCCAGAAGGCTTTTCCTTGGGGTCATAAGATTTGTCAAGGGGGAGGAAGGGACAGATTGAAGGTAATCATTGATGAACCCCCATCTTGCCAAGAAGCCTATGTGGGTGTTGGGGACAGGGATCTCATAATCTGCTTATATAACTGGCCAAGCTGTGTGAAGAACGTGGTGTTTGGCTTTGGTCTGGGGTGAGGGAATGGCTGTGCCGGCCTCGCTCTGCACCTGGCATCCCCTGTACCCCGCCACCCCGGGGGGGCAGAAAAACAGGTGCTCAAAGGTATCCCTCACCCAGCCCTGGTCAGCTCATCAGGGAGCACAAGTGGAGAGAACACATACTTGTCTTCCCATGTGGAGATATTGACCTTTAGCCCCTCAGACTTGGATTAATTTGAACACACAGAATAGTGTAACCAGTGACTCAGAGATAGTAGGGTGCCAGGGCCAGCCCCTCCCAGTCTCTCCCCAGTCCCAACAGTGCCTTCCATCCTTTCCTACGCGATTCAGAGCTGTGTCGGTTGGACTCAGCCCACTGTGAGAATTGCCAGTACTTTGCTCTTTTTCATTGGTGGATGGTGTGCTATTCTGTGCGTAGGCCAGAGTTCACTTGCCCCATTCCATTGCTGATAGGCATTTGAGTAGTTTCCCGTTTAGGGTTATTGTGACTAAAGCTGCTAGGAATATTCTAGAACTGGCCTTCGGCGAGCACAGCTCTCATTTCTCTGGGGTATAGACCTGTCAGAGATTGGAGGGTGTAGGATGACCATAACACATTACAGCATATTGGAGGGGGGTGCTTAAAACAGCAAAGATTTAGTCTCTCACATCTGAAGGCCAGTCACTGTTACAGGACCGCACTCCCTCCTGAGATTCCAGCAGAGGGTCCTTCCTACCTGTTCGAGCTTCTGGGGGCTCCAGCCTCCCTTGGCCTGTGGCCTTATCACTTCAGTGTCCACCTCCATTGTCATCTCCACGGCCATCTTCTCTGTCTCTCCACTGCATGTCTCTTATGAGGACAGTTGTTACTGGATTTAGTACCCACCCAGATAATCCAGAATGATCTCATCTTGAGACCCTTAATTACATCTGCAAAGACCCTTTCTCCAAATAAGATCCCCTTCAGCCCTGGCTGGTGTAGCTCAGTGGGTTGAGTGTGGGCCTGCGAACCAAATAATCGAGGTTCAATTCCCAGTCAGGGCACATGCCTGGGTTGCAGGCCAGTTCCCAGTAGGGGACGCATGAGAGGCAACTGTACATTGATATTTCTCTCCCTCTCTCTTTCCCTTCCCCTCTAAAGATAAATAAATAAATTCTTAAAAAAAAAAAAAAAGATCCCCTTCACAGGTTCTGGGGGTTGGGACATGGACATATCTATTTAACTCATTATTGTGATTTGCATTTATCTATAGCAGACATGGCCACACTGTTTTCCAAAGTGGTCTGCCAACCTCACCTGCATACCTGCATCTAACCCTGTAGGCTGCCACAGTCCAAGGCTTTCCATAGGCCTTTGAGTGGACATGTGCCCTCCCGTGGGTCAGCTGGCTGGTATAGGATCAGTGAGAGAAGAGTAGATGACAGGGTGGTGCCCTCTGAAGAGCATTAGAAACAAAAAGCATGACTGACCCCCCAGAGCTGGCGTTTGGAAATATTGTTGAAAACAATTTTTTGTGGGGCTAATGAAATAATTACAATTTTTTTTACTAATATGGGTGCGAGTTTTAAATGTGCCTGTTTTAATTCTTGATCTTTAATAAATATCACTATTTGTGGGAAGTCAGTTTGGAGAATTCCCAGTTTCTGGACAAGCAAGGATACATGCCCCATGTATTTCCTTCAAGAGGAAGATTCTGCCTGTAGCCATTTGTGGTTACTTTCCTCATGTGAGGATCTCTAACCCAGACGGGACACAGTAACTAATAAAAAGAGCCAGGAGACTGTGAAGAGGGGAAAAAAGAAGTCACTCTCTGTCATTCTGTGTAACCCCCCGGAGTATTAGTGTTTCCATGTAAAACAGTGAAACAGTGTGGTATTTTTGCTTGGCAAGTGCAAATGGTAGTTCTGCCCTGAACCACAAAGTTGCTGAATTTGAGCATCTTTAGAATGGTTAGATTGTTTTAAAGCTAAAAAGCAAACCAAAATAATGTGATTTGCTAGGAGTGTGTTACCAGATCATTACCAGAAACAATGAATATTGGTGAGGACTGTAAAGGGGCTGGGGAAGTCACTGCTCAGGTGGCCACAGGCCATCCTGCCTGCTAAAGATGGTTCTGTGCTGGCCCCTCTCTGGAGCAAGTGCCTCATGCCAATGGGTTCAGATGATTTGGGAGTAGGAGCTCTGGGGATGAGAGGGCCCCAGACTCATTCTCAGACATACCCACATGCTACAGGGAGGCAGAGGGGACAACCTTGGCTTAATGGTGGGAGGAATGGAGCCATAGGTGGATGCTAGTGTAAGGAGGCTGGTGGGTGGAGAGAGGCATTCCTGAGTGTGGAGAGCAGGACCGATAAAATGACATTGTTCCGGTTAAGCTAGCATGAAGTATATAAAACAAAATAGAGTCACTCATGTCAACTAAGATGGCTGACTGGTAGCCATGACACTTTGGTTCAAGAGGGAAACTACCTAAGTCATGCTAGACACATCTGGCAAGGAGACACACCCAAGATATCTGCACTTGTGATTAGAAGACACTTCTGCTGAGTGGAACCACCCATAGATAGGCTCCTGGGGAAATTCCACACTTGCCATTGGGGGTGCCAAGACATTTACCAAAAAGTCCCAGAAGGGTGGAGTACACCATTTTCAAGGTGTAACTGCGGCAGTTTCCAGACCACTGCTGACACAGCTGAGCTTCACACACCAGAGTGCTGTGAAGCACTCTGATCTCCCTTGGCATCAGCTGCCGGAGGTTTTGCCCTGCTGGACTGAGGACTTTGTCTGCCTTGCTGTCCACCTGGCTCCACAAATCCTTCCTTGCAAGAGGCCGACAACTCCCTTGCCCACTGTGCTATCTCCCAGACCTGCAGACTGAGATTCTGGGACTTGGGTTCATTATCCCCCATTGACTGCTGTGTGTGTTATAATTCTTAGATTGTTAGTGTGAGTAGGATATTAATATATATTGATGTTCTACTTTGAGTGAACATGCATTCAATAAAAGCTGAGTGAATAGCATAGTTACTGTGTGTAACTCTTGTCTATTTCTTTGCTCCTGGTGGCTCAGCAGGCAGCTAGCCAAGCAGTCGCCTGGCTAGATAGGAAAGACTATCATGAACACGCACTCCTGACGAGGAGGAAGGCAAGCGCAGATGACCAAAGTGGGCTGGCTGTACAAGAGGAGGTACAAACGCATAGGGCCCACCCGGCTACAGGTAACCCGGTGTTTTAACCGTTTCCCCAACCTGCCACCAGGGGGCACCCAAGCCCCACACGTCCCTCTAGAACTACATCCCACTCAGTCTGCAGGAGTTGGGGTTCTGCAGGAGTGTGTTTTCTGAGGATTCTTCAGCTCAGGCACTTGTTGCAGATGACAGAGCCAGGCCTGGGAGGCCCAGGCACTGCTGAACCCCTGGCATACTGTAGGTGCTCCATAAAGACCCAATGGAGCAATGCGTGAATGAACAGAGGGGCTGGAGAAGGAATCCAGAGTAGTGTGATTCCCATGGTCTGAGGGCTAAAAGGACACTCGCAGATGGAAAATTGAAGCTCAGAGAGGGGAAGGGCCTGGCCTAAGGTCACACACAAAATCAGGAGCTGAGCCCATCCAGTTCTGAGACCCGCACACTGTGTGTCCCTTGCCCACTACCAGCACCCGCACTCCAGGGAAAACCACGACCACATGGTACAGAAGAGCAAGATTATCCCAGATGACAGTGAGCCTCCCTATCCAGAGTGGGGAGGCAGAAGGCAGCCCCCCAGGGGCCCCTCATGGGGAGTTTGCTGGGCCACTGCACAGACACCCTTAATTCTCACACCACTCACGTTTGCTCTCTTGCTCCAGAATGAGAATCTATCCAAGACACCACATGAGGATGGGGATAGGCTGAGGGCAGGGCTCTGCCTGCCTCCTCTGCTGGGGAGAGGTCCCTTGGGTGACCTGAGATGAATGTGTGGCCCCAAGAAGGCATGGAGAAGGTGCTTGGGACCTATAAAAGCCACATTTACCCTCCACTTGTCCCCCATCTTCATATATTTCCTGTCCTCATCTCCCACACAGGGTCAGGCATGCTGAAGGGAGGTGGGGGATGGACCAGGAGGAGGGGATGGAGTCTGTGAGATCACACATGTGCATGCTGTTAAGAGCACAGTTGGGGAATCGGACTACCAGTGCCTCTCCTCGCCTTTGTGGCCATGTGTGTGTAAGTGTGGTGCCCTTGTTAAAAAAGAAGTGTTTGTAAAAATTTAAAAAATATATAAAAGGGATGAACAGCAGCGTGGCCCAGAGGAAACCCAGCCAGAACTGCTGAGGCTGTCAAGATTATCTCTTAATAAATAGTCATGGGCATATAAAGTATGGCATAGGGAATACAGTCAATACTATTGTGATAACTATGTATGGTGCCAGTTGAGTACTGGAAATATTGATGGGAACACTTTGTAAAGTATAAGATTGTCTAACCACTAAGCTGTGCACCTGAAATCAATACAAAATAAAATTGAAAGAAAGGAATAGATTATCTTTGCACTTCCTGGTATTTAGCACATAAGGGGAAATGAGTACAGCACAGTGCCTGGTTAGGCATGTCTTCCAGGGGGCATGTCTGTGACAATGTCTCTGAGTATATTAGCGTGTGTGGGTAAGTGGCAGTGAGAAGACAGAGTAGAGTGTCAGGAAGTTAAACAGTGATGACTTTCCTAGTAGACAGGGCAAGGAGGGAAGCTGGTACATCACAGTGTCTCCTTAGGCATGTCTCCTTCTGGGCCCTGCTTGCTTGTGAGAGCTTCTCTAAGCAAATGAGTGTGAGGCAAGGGGAATAAAGGCAGACATAAAGTTTCTAAGTATAAGCTATGAGTTTCCTGAAAGCGAGGATGACAGAGGAAATAAAAGTTAAAGAAGCAACTCAGTGTGTTTTCATCATTGCCTGCCTACTGACAACACTGGATCTGACTGTATGTGAAGGTGTATAAGTATGTGTGAGGGAGAGTCACAGAGCTATGGTGGGAGATATCTCTGAGCTCCCTGGAAGCCAGGGCAAGAGGGGAAATAGGTTGAGTTTAAGCCTGGGCAGGCACAACTTCCTTGCTGTGTGTGGTGAGGCCTTGTCTAGAGGCTCAGACAGGGCAGTGTCTAGCAGCCAGGCGAGCACGGCTATCCTCTGCGGGGCTCCAGGGCCGAGCATAGCCTGCATGGGGCAGCAGCAGCCGGTCCTGAGTGCCGTCAGGACTGACGAGGCGCTGGGCAGCCAGCAGGTACTCTCGATGGAGGGACATTGGTGGGCAGGGGCAGCGACCTGGTGCCCATACGTACTCAAAGGTCTGCAGTGGTGAGCGGTTCTTGTAGACAAGCTGCACACGCACCTCATAGCGGGTCTCCTGGGCCTGGCGGAGGTGGCCCAGCACTCGAGCCCGGAACACTGTGGGCAGAATGGTGCTAAGGCCAATTGGATAGGCTAGCCAGGACACCCATCCATGTACCCTATTGCCATATGAGGGAACTAGAGGTCAGATGGGGCATGGAGGCCCCATAGAGACTGTGGAGAGGGTACTGGGGTCAGGATCGAAGAGGACTTAGAGGTCAAGTTAGATCAATGAGTCAGCTCAAGGAGTCAAATTAGGGCCAGAAAAAAGGGATCAAATTGGAGACAGGTCAAGGAGTCAAGGGTAAAGTCAAATCAGGGTCAGATGTGGGCAGGAAAGTAGCCAAGCACAGGTCAATTAGGAGCCAGGGAAGGGTTGGGGTAAAGGGTCTCTCACCAAAGTCACTGCCGCAATAGTGAAGCAACCGATGGGCACGACCGCGGGTGTCGGGACAGGGTGGGCAGGGATCTGTGAGATGGAGCATTAGGACACAGGCCTCACCTCTCTGCTTGCCCCCACCCTGGTTGTGGTTGTTCCCCCTCACCTGGGGTGGGGTTTGGGGTCCTTGTGGGGAAAGCCGGGGCTTCGTTGGGCTCAGAAGACTGAGGTTCCACCTCCAGAGGCTGTGGCTGCCTCAGGGACCAGCTCAGGGCCTGTGCCTGCTCCTGGAAGGGGCTGTAGAGTTCCCGAGGGAGCCAGAACTCGAACTCAATGCCAGGATTGGGCTCCTGCAGGAGGACCTGGGGGAAGGGTCAGGTACTAGGGATTGGAAAAGGAACTGATAGCCCATCCTCCCTGCTCTGGCTCTCCACTCCTGCTTCGCCCCTCTGTTTCTCTACCCTAGTCTTCCTCCTCTGACTGTCTGCCCCAGCCTGGCCCCTCTGACCCTCTCTAATTCAGTCTCAACCCTCTGACCCTCTGTTCCTAGCCTCCCCACTCTCTCTCCTGCCTCCCCTGCTCTGCCCCTAGTCTCCCCTAAATCCTTTAATCCCCCCCACCACCATGTGCCCAGCCGCCCCCCACCCCCACCCCAGGCCAGGCACGCACCTGCAGAAGCAGGTTTTGGGTGGTGGGTCCCGCCGCACGCAGTGTCTCCTCTAGCCCTGTAGTGCGGGTGTAAACCACGCGGGTGCCTGCCACGTCGTAAGTCCCGGGCGGGCTGACCTCCCACTTGCCGTTGAGCACGTAGTGCCCGTCGCCCCCAATCAGCGCTGCAAGGGAAGGGTCAACCCGGGCTCTCCGGAACCCGCTCCTCTGGCCTCAGTCTTCCCGCTGCACCCGGGGAGCCGGCAGGGCGCCTCCCCGCTCCCCCTCGGATTCTGCAATACCCAAATGGTTGCGGCTCCGATGGGCGGCGTAGATGTGTCTGGCGCCCTCGGGGATCAGTGTCACATTCCAGTATCCAGCGTAGGCTCCTGGACAGGAGGGAAAGAGGGTGTTGTGGTGCGGACGGGGTTTATGAAGGATGCTTTGAGAATTAAGTGAGACGCTACAATTTAGGAGGTTAGTCTTGGTCCTGGTATCCCCCAAACACTCCGTAAACATTTGGAGTTAACGATTATTATCGCTTAAGTGAAGCAGCGAAAGAGTTAGAATACCATCTGTTCTGGTCAGGGCGGGACAATCTCGCATCGACCAATCAGAATGAAGAAAAAAAAGATAGGGCCGGGCCGCAGATTGCCCAATCAACACGGGACTTCACTTTCGGGCCCACAGGTTCTTAAAGGGCCCGCTGTACTAGAGTAGAGAGGATGGGGTGAGTGGTCACCGGCGTCACGAAACACGCGCTGTACGAAGAGGCACGAGTCGTTGGCGCCGCCACAGCGGCCGCAGTGGTCCTCGCGGGCATCCGAACCCATCAAACCGTCACAGCCGGCGCTCTAAAGGAGTGAGGAGGACACACATCGCAGAGAGCCCCCTGCCCCACTCAGTAACTCAGCTGGGTGTAGGGGGCAGGGCTCTGAGAACTGGGAGGAGGGGCCTAGAGACGACAGTAGAGCCTGAAATAAAGGAATCTGAGAGTAAATGGCTGGGCCCCAGAGGTGGAAGTCTGGGGTGGGGCCTAAGGAAGAGTGAGGCCTGTGGAAGGTGGAGAGACTAAGGAACAAAAGGAGAGGGGCCTGGGCGGGACCTGAAAGTAAAAGGACGGGCTTTGGCAGGAAGCTTGGGGTGGAGCCTATGGGGGGGCAGGGCCCTAGGGGGGGCAGGGCCCTAGGGGGGGCAGGGCCCTAGGGGGGGCAGGGCCCTAGGGGGGGCAGGGCCCTAGGGGGGGCAGGGCCCTTTGGGGGCAGGTCTAGGAGGGAGAGCCGGATCCAGAACTAAATAAGCGAGCTTTCAGGGTGGAGCCTCAATGGGAGGTGGGTTGGGCCTCCGAGTCCTTACTAGGCAGCGTCCCCCAACGCAGAGTCCCTGGCTACCCGGGCTGCAGGGAGTGCCATCCAGGACGCGGCCAAAGCTATGGTAGAAGGCATGCCCCAGGGCCAGGCAGTTGAGGTCGCACTGGTTGGGCGCTGGGGGGGCAGAAGGAGAAAGTAAACCAGGGGTCCTCTATCCCAGTTACAGCCCTCTTCCTTCCAGGCTCCCCCTGAAATCCATCCTCTTGGGCCGTTAAGGCCCAGAGTCTCAGCCAATACTACACATCAGGGTTGAAGCTGAGCCAGGACTGAATTTAGTCATTCTGCCTCCAGCTCCCTGGGACTCTCCCATGCAAGTATCTTGGGCCTTCATGCATGCGTGCATGCATTCATTTATTACACAAATACTCATTGAACACCTACTATTTTCCAGACACGTTTCTAGGCTCAGCGTTGAGCAGAACTGCTCCCAGTAGGTGCCCAATAAAAAATGTTTGTTCAGTGCTGACTGGGTTGCACATAGCCTGGGGGTATCTTTGGCCTGCCCTAGGACTCAGTTTCCCCCTCTACCTGGCAGGGGGGACAATGGGCAGTCCACTCTCAAATGTGGGCTCATAACCCTGACTCCTGCTCCTCCCACCTCCCTGAGCTTGGCTGACCCTGCCTGTAATGGATCCTGAGCTGGCCCTGGTGGGCCAATTCCTAAAGCAAAGGAAAAAAAAATACCCATGAGGTTACAGATGGACCTTTCTCCATCCTATGCTTTTCTTATCTGTGTCTGCCCCCATCGTGGCATCTAAAGCTGCCAGTCTTAAACCTGGAGGCACACGGCCTCAGGCACACAGTTATATAACTTGCTATTTTCAGCTCAATACAGGCTACATTTCCTGCTACCAGCATAAGTTTGAGAACTGTTGGCCTCTGGATACAGTTCTAAGTAAATCTTCAGCCTGGTGTTTAATCCTGTGCAGAATAGACGCTGCCTCCTTCTGCCTCTGCTTTGCACCTCACCTGTGCTTTTTTCCCTTCACTTCACGAACTCCTATTTATCCTTCAAAGTCTAAGTGCAGATGCTTACTCTTCTTACTACCCTCCAAGTCCCCTTTCCTTCCTAGCAGCCATTTCTCTCTACCAGCTCTGAGTTGTTCCCCCTGGAACAGCTACCCTACAGGAGGGCAAACTACTCACCGCCATAGAATGGCACCCATTGGTAAGTCTTCTGGAGGCTGAGGACAGGCTGGCCATTGTAGAGGGCACACTGGATGTCTCGGAAGGCCATGGCCCCTGGGGGACAGTCCTGGGGGCAGAGATGGGTGGGTCAGAGGCTGGGACAGCCTCAGGGAAGCCCAGAGAAGCTGGCAGGGTGGCAAACATATTTGAGGCCATGAGTGGGGAAGCTTTAAGACAGACTCAAGAGTATGGGAGGTGGACAGAGCTTACTGGCAACTGGCAGAGGCGGTACTCGTGGGTGTCCCCCCGGCACAGCTCCTCCCTGGGAAACCTGTGAGGAGCAGGGTGGCCAGAGTCTCATCAGGCCTGCTAGTAACCCCCTCCCCAGAGCCTGCCTCCACACCCTCCACACACACACTCCCCACCCCCCAAACCTACCCACATTCCAGGTGGATCAGTGGGATTAAAAGGCACAGCATGTGTGGGCAGGTGAAGGGTGTGGTCAGGGGCTAGGCCTGGCTGGCAAGAGAGGAGGGGCAGGAACCCCTTTGAACACGCTCAGACGATGTATCCTGCTCATTGCTCACCGGATGCAGCGCCGGCTTCGTACGGAGAGCCCCCGCCCACAGGAACTCGAACAGCGGCTCCAGGAACCCCATGGTGTCCACTCTCCCGGCCCCTACTTGGAGAGAGAAAGCATGGTCAGCCTGAAAGGGAGGCTGGCAACCCCCACGTGGCTTCTGGGTCCCCATGCCCAATGTCCCCTGGGCTCATGTGTTCCCTTACCTGAGCACTGCCCCCCAAACCACAGTTCAGGAGGATCCACAGCAGGAGCAGGAGGTTCCATAGGGGGTGGGGTCTGGGGGAGCAGAGGAAGGTGCTGCAGTAAAGGTGTCAGCAGACCAGGGGCTGAACCCCAGCTCTGCCTTGACTGTGATTTGGGGCAGTAACTTAACCTCTCTGAGCCTCCCTTCTCATCTCTGAAAAATACAGCCCACCTCAGAGGAAAGTTTTGAGGGGTCCTTCGGATCAGGTAAGAAAAACAGGAGGCACAGAGCCTGGAATGGAGATGAAGAGCTCAAAGAATATTATTATTATTATTATTTTATCATTATTATTGGTTATTGTCTTATGATGTACACAGTAGGTGCTTAATCAGTGTCTAATGACAGAACAAATCATTCCAGGACAGTGTACAAGTGTCTCCAGGGTCAGGGCCCCTCACTGCTCTCTCCACCATCATTGCTTCTACCTTCCTGTGTGGCCAGGGGCCAGCCACTCCACTTCCCCAGGCCCCATCTGTGCAGTGGGAACCATCTGGGGTCAGTCCAGGACTCTGAGACCTTGCAGAGGGTACAGCCAATGGGGGCTGGGTCAGTGACCGGGTCCCTCCAGGGCCCTTTCTGTTCCCAGACCCTTGGCAGCAGGGAATCCCTGGATTGTGGAGGGGCAAGGAGGGGTGACCTGACTCCAGGCCAGCCAGAGCTTCATGGCCTCATGAGCAGAGGGTGTGGAATAGAGCACCAGGGTGGTCTGTGAAGGGAAAGGGGCCCCTGATGAGGATGATGCAGAAAAGAGGAAGACAGCTGGGGTGGGGAGGCTGGGCTGGCAACTTTGCCTTACATGGGCCTCAGTTTTCCCATCTGTAAGGAGAAAAATAGAGCCAATTGCCATCCACACCCTCTGCGTGACCATGACATTGGCAGAGAAAGGAGGAGAGAAGTGTCAGCCTTGAGTCCTTACTTGGGCCAGAGCCAGGGAACCCAGTAGTCAGCAGTACCCAAAGGACACGCAGGACAAGCTCCTAGACACTGGGCGTGGGGGGGAGGCTGGGCCCTACTGGACCCATGGCCCCTCCTGAGCCTCATTTTCCCTGTTTCTCAGGCCATCCTGGCTCTGACACTTGGACCTGGGGCATCAGGGGTCTGCTGCTGAGGTGGCTGTAGGTGCTGAAAACCTGGAATACCACCAGCTGGGGGTTCCTCTTTCTGGCCAGAGCTGTGCTGCCTGATGCATCTCAGACCCTCTCTGAAGCCAGGGTCCTGGCTGGCCCATGAAGCAGGAATTTGGAGGGAAGAGATGCAAAGATGCAGGAAAGAAGGGTTGGCCTTCTGACACCTCCCCCTGACTCAGAACTGACTATGAGGTGGGAATCTAGGCGATGGAAAATAGAGGGCTAGAGCACAGGTGGCAAACACAAGGCCTGGTGGCCGAATCTGGCCCTCCACCTTAATTTATCAGGCTTAGCACCTTGTTTCTACCTGGCTGCAGGGCCAAGCTCCTCGCTCCTAGTTAAGGAGTAGTTTCATTTATACAGTCCTAAAATTACATTCTGTGCTTTGAAGGCAACCGCCAGGCTGATGTGCCCCCCCCCCCCGGTAAAAATGAGTTTGACAACCCTGGGCTAGAAGGACCACCTTCCCACTCCCCAGAGCCCCCTTCGGAAAGAGCAGGACACTTACTCCCTGTTTGGGTTGAACTCCTGACTGTGGGTGTGATCACAGGGTAAACCACGCCTCTGGGCCTCAGTTTCCCCGGGAGGAAGTGGGGGTGAGCTTTTTCTCTCCCTGGGGGATTGCTGCCTCACCGTCCCCCTGCCCCCGCCCCTCCACAGCCCTCCTGGACCCAGGGAGGAGGAGTAGACTTGTCCTCGGATAGTGGGTGGATAGGAAAAGGGGCTTACCGGCGACTTAGAGCTCTGGCGGTGCGTCCCAGCTCTCTGGACGGCCCCAGGGCGAGGCGAAGCTGCGGCGCCTGTGGGGAGGCTCCTTCCACCCGGCGTCTCAGGACGTGCCCAGGTCGGGGTCCAGGGAGGCGGCGGCTCCTTGCGCCCTCGCGCGGCCGTGGAGCGCTTCCGAGAGGATCTGTGGCAGGGGACTGCTTCGCGCGGATCCTGGCACCCCAGAACTGCGGTCTGGTGTCTGAGAGTCCATGTCCCGGTGACCTTGGGAAGCCCAGGGCGGGAGAACCGCGAGGGGACTGGCCGTCTTTAACCCCACCCCGGGGCTGCTATTCCGGGCTCCACGCTCAGGGCCCGGGAATGTTCGAGAACCGAGGTCGTCCTGCCCCGGTTCCGGGAATCCGAGGCGCTGCTCCCTGTCCACTAACGTCCAGATCGTGTCCCCGCGAGGGTCTCCTTTCCCAGCCACTATCCCCTTCTTTGGTCCTTCCCTCAGGGTCAGCCTACTCAGAGACTCGCGCGCCTGAGTTCCGATCCTGGGGTTTCCGCTTCAGGTCCCGGGCACCCCAAGCGCAGGCCCCCCAGCGCACTAGGGAAACGCTCAGCCCCAGGAATTGGGCGTAAGGGGCGGAGAGCCCACTCCCGGCCAGCGCATTTCCGGGCGCTGCTGTCACCGGAGGACGCGCCCCACCCCGCCCCCTGCCCCCCCCCCCCACCACCGCCAGGCCCCCGGACTGTGAGCGGCTTTGGAGCCAGAACCGAGTCCAAAGGTCTCAATTCTGCGTGGCCACGGCCCCACCCTCTCCTACCTCAATTTCCCCAATTGGACAAGGGGGCCACTGTGACTCTTTCAGCCAGATTTCAGCTCTTTGCGCGGACTGGCGAGATCAGGGTTATCCCAGGGCTCTCACCACCAAACCCTTTCCAGCCTGCCGCCGCCCAGTCCCCCGCCTACACGGGGACGCAGCAGGCTTTCTCTGCTCACTCCTCCCTCACTGTCACCCAAGGTGCTCCCTGGTAGGCAGGTTGAAGACATGGAGCACCAAGAAGGCAATGGGTGGACTGCTCCTCTGCCCCCAAGCTCAGCCAGGCTCACCTTGAGTGCCTCCTCCTCCTGGAATCAAGGGGAACTGATCACAGAGAGGGAGAGGTTGCTGGTTCAGATCTGTCTGCACTCCAGCCTAGAGCAGCTCAGAACAGAGCCACCCAATGCCATTTATTTCTTCAACGTTTATTGAGAACCTACTACAAATATGTGCCAATACAGTGGTGAAACACTCAGCCAATCAGGCTAGTGAGGGAGGGAGGCAGCCCCTGGGCAGGTATAATCTCACCTTGTGATCAGGTGCTCAGAGGAAACAGCCCAGGCCCACTGCCGATGGGAGAAACATCAGGGAGGCCCTCAGTGAGGAGATGATACCACGGGAGGTGGTGGGAAGGGCAGCCCAGGCAGAGGACACAGCAAATGCAAAGGCCCTGAGGCTGGACTAAGAGAGTAAAAAGAGTCAGGAGATGGAGTAGGTGGAGCAAGTGGCCTGGGTCAGGGAGGGGATGAGGTCAGAGGCGGGGGAAGGAGCCATGGAAGGTGGAAAAGGGTGCTCTAGCTTCGGAAAAGCTGTCCCTGTCTGCTGTGGGGGCAGGAGTGGGGCTGAGCAGGCAGTGAGAGGCAGCATTGGGTATTCTGGGCAGGGGCTAAACTGGAGTTGGGGTGGAGGTGAGAACAGGGGGCAGCTCCCAGCTGTTTGGGAGTGGGTCTGCAGGAGTTGTTGATGGATCCCACAGGGGAAGTGTTGGGAAGACCTCGAGGCAGGAACTTGGCCTGAGTGTCTGGTGAAGGGAGGTGCCCTGTTTACTGAGGGGGCAGGCTGGTGGGGGAGGGTGAGTTCAGCAGTCATTTCTGAACCGTTGTAGGGTGAGACGTCTGTGTGTCCCCAGAAGAGGCTGGCAGTCCAAGGGGTCGTGTCTAGGTAGAGGGGGATGTGTGGGTGTCCTTGGCACATGGGGGTGTTTAGTGTCATGGATGAGGTCACAGGGCGTGAGTGTGGACGGAAAAGGGCAGGGGGGGAAAGGTGGGTGTAGAGTGCCAGAGATTACACAGGGCTTCTGGGAGGAGGGAGTTGTGGCCTGTGTGGGCAAGATGAGGATGTGGACCAGTGGCCTAATGGATTATCACTGATGGAGGCAGTCATGACCTTGATGAGATTAAGCCTGCTGGAGCGAAGATGGCAGGAGAGGGAGCAGGGATGGAGAAAGCAGGCATCCTCTTCTGAGTGCTGATTATTTACAAAGCTATGGACTGGGGCCTGGTGGGTCATCAGGAATAAATCAGGCTTGGTCCAGGGACGTCACAAAGTGGACCATTTCATTCACCCTAGAGGCACCTCATTCTCTAAACCCCAGGCGCAGTGGCATGCAGGGTGTGCATACAGCAGGCACTGTGCCCCGCAAAAAGTGCATATAGTAAGTACTATATCCTGCATGGAGCATCTACAGCAGGTGTTATTCATCAGGCACCACATCCTATAGAAAGGTATACAGCACCCTGGTCCGTGTGGCTCAGTGGATTGTGTGCTGGTCTGTGAACCACAGGGTTGCCAGTTCGATTCCCAGTCAGGGCACATGCCTGGGTTGTGTGTCAGGTCCCCGGTTGGGGGTGTGTGAGAGGCAACCACACATTGATGTTTCTCTCCCTCTCTTTCTCTCTCCTTCCTCTTCTCTCTAAAAATAAATAAATAAAATCTAAAAAAAAAAGAAATATACACAGCATATATTTTGCCCTGCAGGGAGTGTATACAGTAGGTACTGTGCCCTGCAGGGAGTAGACTCAGAGCCTACAACAGTCACCGTATCCTGCAGAAGAAGAGTGCATACAGAAATCGCAGCACCATGCAAGGAGAGTTTACAGAAGGTACTTTCTGCAGGGAACGTCTGGAGCAGGCATTGGACTCTATCTAAACAAGTGTATGCAACAGGCACTGAGTCCTGTAGAAAGTGAATACAGCAGGCACTGCACCCTTCATGGGGGTCCTAGCACTTGTGGAATCACCAGGTGGAAATGGGGTGAGGGTGTGGGGTCCTGGGCCCACCCCCCATCCTTTGTCTTCTCTGTGTCTCCAGTCTCCACTTCTCTCCTCTGAACATAACTCAGCTGGATTCGGTAGATTCACAGAGGATAAGGCCCGGGCTTGGCTCAAAATACCTGGTGCAGGTGGAGAGGGTGGTTGTGAGGTTCAGAGGCTCCAGGTCCAGTGGCATCCCTGTCGCCAACCCTGTGCTCAAGCCTGGACCCTGGCTCAGGGTCAGCTGGATTCCCCCTACCCTGACCTCCAGCCTAGAACCCCTCCTGGAGGCAGGCCAGGTTGGGATCAGGAGAGTACACGGGGGTCATGGCAGAGGTGGGTCAGCTGGACTCCTGCTCCCTCGGTGGTCTGTGGTCTTACGGCCTCCCTGGGGATGAGGAAATGTCTATGAGCAGATCCAACGGTCTCCTCATACCCCCTCCTCCAATTCCCTGGGCCACTTGTGATCCCTGGGTCCTGGCCATGTGGTCCCAGGGCACTTCAGTCCCCTGAGTTGACTAAATGAAAGGGGTCCTGCCACTCCTGCCCCACAATCCAAGGTCTCTGGAGCTGCCCAATGTCCTTGAGCCTGAGTATGGATGGAACAAAACTGGGACCTACCATGGCCAAGGTCACCCATGTGAGCTGTGACTGCCACCTGGAAAGAGCCACCCTAAGCACATAAGAGGCAGGAAACAGAAAAATCCAGATTTCTGAGATGGTTGTTTGAGTCCCTGGATTGAGCCGTACCTGAAGCCACAAATCCAGTATTTTTTTATGTTAGCAACTTTGGGTTTCTGTGACTTCTAATTAAGAGGTCTCCACAAATGGGGAGTGTCCTTTCCATCACCCTCATTCCAGACAGGTCATGCCACTGACCCAGTGACTATGCCACTGGGTCATGCCACTGACACAGTAGGTAATTCACCTACTGTGAATTACCACTGCCTAGGGGGCTGCCATATCTGATGTGACACTCCTCACCCCTACTTTATGGGTCTGGATGCTGAGGTACAGAGGGGTGAAGCCACACTCAGCGAGACTCAGAGGTTCTGGAGCAACTTCACACCCACATCTGAATGGGTGCTCTCAGCTCCTTTTGGGGGTGGGGTGTGGGGGGACTTGCTTGAAGTCCGGATGCTCCAGGCAGAACCTGGAGGATGAAGGGGAACTGGGTGGAAGAGTGTACGAGGAAGAGGGTGTTCTCGGCAGAGGAACAGCGTGTGCAAGATGAGGCTCAGGCACCAGGCAGGCCTTTGTGGCCGGAGCACAGAGAGCAAGGAGGATGGCTGAGGGGCTGGGGAGGGGCAGAGGCCCCACATGGCTTGGAGGCTGAGGAGCACGGAACAATCAGAAATGGCAAGTCGTCCAAGGCACGCTGTTGGGTGGAAGATACTAGAAAAGTCATGCACAATGTAATGACATTTTTATAAAGGAAGTGTGCATGTTACCATAAACTCAGCAAAGTGAAGGATACACCCCAGTGTTGGCCACGATGATCTTGGGGTGGGGGTTATGATTGACTTTGAGTTACTGCCTTGTAGTTTTCCTTGAGTTTCTTATCATGATCTCCTAATTCTTGTTCTTTTTTAGAATAAAATTTAAATTTTGGAATCATTTTAGATTTACAGAAAGTTGCAAAGACACTACAAAGTTTCTGTCTGACTCTGTTGTCAGAGTGTAATGTCCCTTCCCCAAAGGGACCTGTAGCTATGTCACCTCACGTGGCAGAGAGGACCTTGCAGGTGGATTAAGTTAATGACCCTGAGATGGGAATGACCTTGGAGGACCAGAGAGGATGGTGCTTCTAGAAGGAGCAGACAACAGTGGATACTTGGAGGCTGGGAGAAGCAAGGACAAAGTCTGATCCTACACCAGTGGAAGCGAAGTTCCCCGCCCCTAATGCCAGGCCAGTCGCAAAGCAATGCCCTGCTGCAGTCATGGGGTTTCTGAAGCACAGAGGCAGGGTCCCCTCCTGCTGACTCTGCTCACGAGGCCCTGTCCCCAGAGGCCAACCTCATGAGTACAGACATGAGGGAGTCCACTGAGGGTGAAAGGCTAGGAGACCACAGAGGTACCTGGAGCCAGGGGGAGTCTGGGCCACCTGAGTGCTCCCACCCTGGCACCTTCTGGGAGAAGAAGGCTGTGTCCAGGCTGGCCCCATGCCAAGCCCCTTGAGCCTCCCTGGGGAGACCTCCAGGAGTCTGGCTGCTCAGTGCTGTCTCAGCAGCCGCCCCCTCACCTGCGGCAGGTATTTTGAACAAAGCTTCCTGCACTGCTCCAGGGAAATCTGCTGAGTCTGGGGAGTTATTTCAGGTCAGTAAGGAAACAGAATGAAGGAGAAGTGAAGCTGTGGCCTGGGGTGTAGGGATTCAGGGGGTAGGTGGCCATGCTGGGGATCCAGCCGGTGACCACCCACCTGGCTTGTGGAACCCCAGGCAGGGGTCAGCATGGGAGGCCAGGCAGCCCCCTTTGTGATCCTATGACCAGCATCCAAACTGTGCCTCACTTTGCTCATCTTTAAAATGGGGGTTTCAGTAAGTCCCCTAAGGTTCTGTTTTTTGGGGGGTAGAGTGGGGTCTCTAATATGTTTTTCCTTTCTTTATTATGGCAAAATACACACAGCATAAAGTTTACCATTTTAACCATTTTTAAGTGCACAGCTCAGGGCCATTAAGTACATTCACATCGTTGTGCAACCACGACCACCATCCATCCCTGGAACTTACCTTCCCAAACTGACACTCTGTCTCCATCAAATGCTAGCTTCCTTTCCTCCCCTCCCCCAGCCCATCACCCACCATGTGCCTCCTGTCTCTGCGAATTTGACTCCTGCCGGGACCTCCTATGAGTGGTTACACGGTGTTTGTCCTTCTGTATCTGGCTTATTTCACTGAGCTCAGTGTCCTCAAAGTTCATCCACGTTGTAGCAGGTGTCCGAGTTTCCTTCCTTTTTAAGGCTGAATAATATTCCAGTGTGTAGATGAGCCGCATTGTATCTGTTTATCCACACTGGGCATTCAGGCTGTTTCCTTTTTGGCTGTTGTGAATCTCATGGCTGTGAACATCTACGTTTTTCGTTTTATTCTAGGTTTTCTCACCCTCGAGTTCTGGAGGAGGGACGTACCTGCTCGGGGAGGTGCAGCCTGGAGAGGGGAGATCTCCCTAGTGCTGTGGTGGAGGTTTAGCCAGCAAAACCTAGCAAGCAGCCAAGAGTTGGGGTAGATTGGCATCTGTGCAGAGGGGTCAGCTGACAGGCATGCTGTGTGGCACACAGCCAGGAACTTTGGATTCTTTTACCCCCAAGAACCTTCCCAGGATTCAGTGATCTTCACCACCCGCTCCAGCGTGTGGGCTCTGCCTCACCCGCACCCTGGGGGGTCTTGGGCGATGGCTGGGCTGGATTCCGAAATCTGGTCTTTGGAAAATTCCTAGGCCTGATTCCAGCCTCACTGAGGCCAGCTAATCTCTCTCCATTCATTGTGTTATGTAACATTTGGGGGATTAATACTGTGGTGGCCAGAGGCTGTAGCCCAAATTCAAACACAGCACTGTTCCTTCCTGGCTGGGTAAGCAACCTAAACCTTCCTGGGCCTCAGTGTACTCACCTGTAAAATGGGGACCGGCCACTTTCTATATTTCAAGGTTGGTGAGATGGGAGAAGGCAGGAGAAGTGCTTAGAACCAAAGCTGGGCCGGAGCTCAGAGATGCCCCCACAGGACCTCAGCCTGCCCACTTGTCTTCACATCTGACTGCCTCTCCTTGTCAGCCTCTGCTGGGAATCATTAATCCCAGTGTCCATTCATTGGTCCCTAAATCCTGTCCCTTCTCACTGTCAAGTGCCCTTTATAGATGACACCTCCCAACAAGGAGCCATTCCCCTCTGGGTTCCTGCCCCAGGCCTCACTCCCCCTCCCCACCAGCCTCAGCCCCAGAGATCCTGGACTTCTTTCTCAGCCTCTGAATCCTGCTGTGCCGCCCCAGTGCTCAGGTAGTCAAGCCCCACGATGTTATGAGGGCACCAGACAGAGACTCACCCGCAGAAAAAACCTAGTCACAGACATTCAGAACTAGAGCCACTTCTCAAGCGCACTTGGAAGAGAGCCCACCAAACCCCAGGCCCACCCACCTTTCCTGGGGAGGCCTTCGAAAGAATGAGAATTCCTTCGGGAGTCAGTTTCTAGCTCAGTGGTTCAGTGAAACTGCACAGCGCGCAAATTGGCGGGAGACACAGGACTGAAAGCCGGGTTGAGCGCGGTGGGTTGGCGCGCGGGGTGCAAATGCTGCTAGTGGGGCATCCACACACTCCCACGCACTCCCCACGCATCCGCCCCCTCCCGTTGCGGACCAGCCCCCAAGCTTCTGGACTCCGCCCTTCCCCCCCTTTCACCCTCAGCCAATGAGACGCGCCCCCAGCAGCGCTGCTCCCAGAGCAGTCGCACGGAGCTGCGCTGCACGGTGGTAGTGGGAGGCTGCGCCAGTGTCCGCGCCCTGCTCTCCGCAGGCCCCCTCCCAGAATGGAGCCCAGGTTGAGGCGGCGGGGCAGTTGCCGCCCGTTGGTCTCCCCTTTTTTGCGCGACCCGGGCTCGGGTCGCGTCTACAAGCGCGGGAAACTGATCGGCAAGGTGGGGACCCCAGCATCCAGACTTCGGGACAAGGGGCAAGGCCGGGCCAGGAGGAAGTCCAGGCGGGGTGGGGGTCCTTGTTGGTCAGGGCGGGTTGTGTACGTTATGATCCTGAGTTCAGCGGAGCCGGTATGTGACCAGCTTGTTTGCCTGGGCTTTAGCTCTGCTTGTGTTGTGTGTCCGCGCCAGTTTTGGGGTCTGGCGCTGGGCTGGGAGCCTGGTCTGTGGCAGGCCCGCTGTAGGCGTACAGTGTGGCGGGAACCGGTAATTGGCGGGCTATGTGTTGCCCATGAGTTGTGTGTCCAGGAGTGTGGGTGTGCTACCACCGAGTGCGGAATGGACATCTGTGCCTTTCTCTAAACCCTGTCCTGTTGTCTCCAGGTGTGTGTGTGTGTGTGTGTGTGTGTGTGTGTGTGTGTGTATGCGTACACATCTCTGCTTTCTGTGCCTGGTATGGATGTGTCTGTCTGAGTGGACATGTCCCCATGTTTGTTCCCAGGTGTTGCATTGTGTCTCCAAGTAAGAAGGTGTGGGCAGTGTATTTGTGCATCTCAGGTGTGTGCATGTGAAGCCACCTGGCCATCTGTCCACACATGTGTGCACACCTGTCCATTGAGGTTGTGAATCCCCTCCCTTAAGGGCGCCTTCAGCCGCTGCTATAAGTTGACGGACTTGTCTACAAGCATCGTGTTTGCTGTCAAGGTGGTGCCGCGCCGTGGGGCTGGAGCCAGGGGTCTGCGCCCCTGCGGAAAGGTAGGGCACCCCCGTCAGTGCCCAGGGTCTCCATGCCCACAGCAGCTTCCCAGAGAGGTCCCTGCTCTTGAGGGCGGGGTGGATGCCCGTTGGTACAGCTACTGCGTGCAGGGCGTGCACACAAGGGCTGTGCCTGCAGGTGGAGCGAGAGATTGCCCTGCACAGCCGTCTGCGACACCGCAACATCGTGGCCTTCCATGGACACTTTGCTGACCGTGACCATGTGTATATGGTGTTGGAGTACTGCAGCCGCCAGGTGTCCTGGGGGAGGGGCAGAGAGGGAGTCTGTATACCTCCGTGTCTGCTCATCCACATCCGCCCCTGTGTTCCGTCTGCACTTACCTGTTTCTGCCTGTGCTCAGACCAGGCCCATGTGCACGCATCCTAGTCTCTCTTGTCTCACCTGGGCTCACCTGTGTACATTTGTGCCCAGTTTATTCTGTGGTCACCAGGCTTATTTCATACTCATCTGTAGTACCTGGGCCCACCTGAGCCTCTCTGTGCTCACCTGTGTCCCTCCTGCACTTTGCCATGCTCCCAGTTGAACCTAGTGTTCCTTCATAGGCTGCTTGCACTCACCTTGCCCACTCAGTACGCTTGAGCTCATGTGTGTCTCCTTGCTGCTGGCGCTGTGGCCTGTGGGTCACCTGCAGTCTCTGGCCCACGTGCTGGAGGTGAGGCAGACCCTGACGGAGCCCGAAGTGCGCTACTACCTGCGGGGCCTGGTCAGCGGCCTGCGCTACCTGCACCAGCAGCATATCGTGCACCGAGACCTAAAGCTCAGTGAGTGCAGGAAGGGCGGCTGTGTGGGCACAGGAGCTGGGACTTGGATCCCCCGCTTATGCCCGTGACTCTTCCCACACCCCACCGGCAGGTAACTTTTTCCTGAAAAAGAACATGGAAGTAAAGATCGGGGACCTGGGGCTGGCTGCCAAGGTGGGGCCAGGGGGCCGATGCCACAGGTAAGGATGGAGGCTTGAAGCAGTCTCTTGGGGTGGGCACAGGTGAACCTAGGCTGGCATGCAGGCCCCAGTTTTCCCGAGCCCCCCCCATTGTCCCCTTCCAGAGTGCTCTGTGGGACTCCAAACTTCCTGGCCCCAGAGGTTGTCTCCAGGAACGGGCACTCCTGTCAGTCAGACATCTGGGCTCTGGGCTGCATCATGTGAGTGGGGGCCTGGGGGCCTGGCTGGGCAGGGTTGCACAGGTGGTGCCAGGTATGAGCAGGAGGGAGCGTGCAAGGAGGTAAGGACGGGTATAAGTAAGTACAGGGGAGGTTCAGTGGTGGTACAGGCACATGAAGGCATATATGTATGTGACAGATGTGAACAGATGTGTGCAGATATGGCGCAGATGAGAGGAGCACCCATTAGCCATCATTTGAGCATGTGAGTATGGATAGGAATATGGGGGGATTATGTGCAAAGGAGGTCAGAGGTGAGTGTGCACAGATGTGTGGACAGGTGTGCAGGCGTTAGGTGCACGGGCAGATCAGGGCATATATTCAGGTATGAAGCACATACAGGAGTGGAGCAGGTGTGAGCATGCAAAAAGGAAAGTTGGGCAGACACATTCAGGTATGCACAGGTATACCTGTGCATAAGCTGGCGTCTACAGATGCTGATGTCTACCGAGCAGACAGGAATGGCCAGGTGGGAGGGGATGAAGGGCAGGTATGGGAGCATGGATCGATGGGAAGCATGAACAGAGTGGGGCAGTGCAGGTAGGTATGGCCAGGTGTGCACAGGTAGGTGTGAGCCAACTCTGGACCAGCCTAGGACAGGTGCAAGCAGGCGCCCAGATTCTTGCCTCCCACCCCGCCCAGGTACCTGGTGCTGACTGGCTCCCCTCCCTTCGAGGCAGCTCCCCTGTCAGTGATGTATGAAAACATCCTAGCCAGCCGTTATCCGGAGCCTACCCACCTGTCACCAAACGCCTGTCGCCTCATCTCGCGCTTGCTGGCACCCAACCCAGCCGAGCGGCCCAGCCTGGACCACCTACTGCAGGACAACTTCTTCACACAGGTGTGTGGTATCCAGCGACGGTGCTGCCCTGGGGGCTGGACGCCTGGGTCCTTCTCTGGGGCAACTCGGCTGAGGCCCAGGTAGGGTAAGGACCCCCAGGTGGCCAAGGCAATCTGAGTGGGGTGCTGACCTCCAGTGCCCCGCTCTGAAGGGTTTCACTCCAGACCGGCTGCCACCCCACTCCTGCCACAGCCCGCCCATCTTTGCCATTCCCCAGCCTCTGGGTAGGCTTTTCCAGAAGGTGGGCCAGCTGCTGCTGAGCCAGTGCCAGCTACCCTGTGAGTATCACCCAGCCCACCCCTCACCTGCTCCTACCTGCCCAATACATGTTCTGCACCTCACACACTTGTCATGCTTCCCACCCGCACTGCAACTCACACCATGGCAGAGGTGGGTATGAATGGCAAGTGCCTCCCCTGACATGGGGCCCAGTTCTGCAGCCTCCAAAATCCTGTGCGTCTCTCAGGCCCCCGTACTCCCAATGAGGCCTCATGTCCAGGAGAAGATGGTTCAGACCCTGACTCCATGGAGTTGGGCATTGAGGTGAGGGCTCGCGCTGGGGGTGGTCACACAAGGAGAACACTCTCGCAGCAAGACCGAGCAGAGGGAGAACTCGGTCTTGCTTCAGAGTGGGGAGGCTGGAGCCGTTTGCTCCCCTCAGGCCTCCCGCCAGGGGCTGGGGTGCCCCTCACTCCTGCTGTTCCCACCCCAGGCTCCCCTGCTAGAGAAAGGGGCTCCCCAACCTGAGGTCTCAGTCTACCTGCTCAACCAAGGGACCCTCCAGAGTGACCCCGCTGGTGAGCAGACCATCTACCCTACGTGGGGGCTGTGGGTGGGGAGTGAGGGTCCAGAGGCAGTGGACAGAGACAGCGCCTTCCCAGGGTTACCGCCCCTGTCCTGGCTTCAACTCCCCCACTTGTAAAATGGGAGTGATGTGTGGATTCCTGGGTTGAAAATAAGATTTTTCCTGGATGCAGGAGTTTGGGGTGGGGCCGGTTGAAGGGGCCCCGCATAGCGGGGCCAAGGCCTGTCCCCTCTTTTCTTCTCGCCCTGACTCCGCATAGATCTGTCTCCCCAGGGCCTGTGGGGAGCTCAGTGCAGGAGGTGGAAGAGGCCATTAGAAACCTGCAGCTCTGCCTGGACCCTGGGCCTCCAGGTAGGAGCACAGCCTAGACCCCAGGGGCTACACTGTCTATTTTTTGTGAATATTTAATTAATTTATTTTTAAAGAGAGAGGAAGGGAGGGAGAAAGAGAGGGAGAGAAACATTGATCAGTTGCCTCGCACACACCCTGGCCGGGGACCAAACCCACAGTCCAGGCACATGCCCTGGCTGGGAATCAACCCAGCCACCTTTGGCTTTGCGGGATGACACACAGCTAATAGGGCCACACTGTCGGGGCCACCCTGTCTCTTAATCTCTGAGAAGTACCCTGTCTCCATCCAGGCTCCCCAGGGGTATTTCTGGGGCTCCACAGCGGGATAGGTTTAAGGGAGTCTTCAGGACACAGTGACTTCAGGCAAGTCACTTAAGCCTCTGTGCCTCAGTTTCCTTCCCTGTGTAAGGAGGCTGATGATAGCGCCAGCTGTCCCCATGCAAAATGTCTAGAACTTCCCGAGACCTCTCTGTGCGTTCTTAGGGTGACTGTTTATTTGGAGTGACGTGTTGAGGAGGGCTCTGGGGGGCGTCCTTGTCCTTTCAGGTCTGAGTCTCTATCATTTGTAATGTCACCTTATTTGAGAGCCAGAGAGGAGACTGAGAGAAACTGAGGAAGGAAATGAGACATCAGACCTTCGCCAACCCTGAACCCTTGTCACAGCCACGCCCTGAGATGGGTCCCCCTCCCATGTCCCAGAGTCCCAGATCCCCAAGTCCTCTTTCTCTCCCTTTCCTTAACCCCCATCAACCACATGTCCTGCCCCATCTGGAGACAGACACTGTCCTGCATGGAGAGGGAGCCCCAAGCCTTTTCTTTTTGTGGGATCCATTTTGCTTTTTATTTGATTTTTAGACAGAGGGGAAGGGAGGGAGAAAGAGAGGGAGAGAAACATCAATGTGTAGTTGCCTCTCATGCAGCCCCCACCAGGGACCTGGCCCACAACCCAGGCATGTGCCCTGACTGGGGACTGAACCGGTGACCCCGTGGTTTGCAGGCCAGCACTTGATCCACTGAGCCACACCAGCCAAGGCATTTTTGCTTTTTTGTTCAGCCTCCCCTGATTGTTAGCAATCAGAATTTAAGCTTGTCTTTAATCAACTGGAGCCAACTTTTATTTCAATGTTTTAAATGAACAGTAAAAGAGAATTTAAGATAACTTTTCAGAGAAGCCACCTCAACAGCATGGAGTCCCATCTGCCCCTGGCCACTGGATGTCCCGTTTTCCCACTAGTGACTTTTTTTCTCTCCAGGATCTGATCCAGCATCCCACATGGCGCTGAGCAATCTTTTATTTTTAATACAAATATTTTTAATTAAAAAAGCAAAGCCTTACGGTATTTTGAGCATTGCAGGCATTTCAGAATCACTCATTTCCAGAGGCAGTGAGTGATCCCCAAGTCCCAGTCCTCCCCTCACAAGGCAAGAGTTCATTTTCTCTTTTCTGGACTTTTCTCGATGGTTCCTGTGCATCTGCCGCCCCCTCCACCTAGGCCCCACCGGGACCCCCATCAGTTCACCTTATTTTTGTGCCCAGCCATGCAGGGACCCCCAAGGGAACAGCGGTCCATCCTCTGGGCCCCCAAGTGGGTGGATTATTCCAGCAAGTATGGCTTTGGCTACCGGCTCTCGGACGGAAGCAGTGGTGTCCTGCTTCGGGATGGCACCCACATGGCCCTGCGCCCCCCAGGGGGGTAAGTGACAGGGCTCCTGTCCCCTTGGTGCCAGGCTCTCCCCCTGCCTTCCTTCCTCCATTCCTCAAGTATTCAAGTGCCTACTGCACACACCTACAGGCACTTGCTGCCTGGTATGGAAGAACGACGATAAATGAATGAGTTGATTTAAGGTAGGACTTTTCTGAAGGAAATGACTGGGCAAGATGACAGATGGGGGTGGTGGATATGGCTCACAACAGTATGGTTGTGGAGGGGCTTTCCAAAAAAAAGACATTCAGGCAAGACATGAATGGTAAAATGGAGCCTGTTGGGAACAGCATTTGATGCACAGGGAATAGCATGTGCAAGGCACCAAGGATGGAACTGAGCATGGTGGATCTGAGGAACAGTGGGGACTCCAAAGTGAGTGAGGGGGAGACAGGAATGATGTGAAGTCAGTGTCCTTTAAGGCCACCGTTAGGGTTGGGGCAGGAAGCAGGGATCTGAGTCACACTTTTAACAAGATCTCTCTGGCAGGAATGATGCAGGGGACCAGTAGGGGAGGTGATTGGACTAGTTAGCTGGGCAATGGCAATGGCTTGGGCTGGGATGGTAGCAGAGTACAGATGCAAGGGAGCTAGAATCTTGACTGTTTACAGGAGGGAAGGATGGAGAGCCACGGGGTGAGATGGCAGGGTGACAGAAGGGCAGGTATGGAGGGGGGCGATCAGGATCTCAGTGGACAGGCTGAGCCCAGGGTTTCAGAGGTCTGGAGTTCAGGAGAGGGGTGGGCCCACAGAGCATGGTCAGTGTGGAGCTGGTCTTCAAAGCAACTGTCAAAGGGGGTGTTGTTATGTGGGAAGGTGTTCTGGCCTAAGGTACCCAGGACAGCAGCTGTAACAGCTGGCACCCTGTTCCCCTGCCCTCAGCCAAGTCAGCTATATGCCTGACCGAGGGAAGCTGGAAACATTTGCCCTGAGGGACATGCCAAGCCCGCTGGGTGCCAAGTTGGCCGTCTTGCGACTCTTTGCTGGCTACATGCAGCAGCGGCTGCAAGAGGTGAGGGGAGCAGGGCTGGTGGAGCTGATGGGGCCGTTGGGACTGGCAGGTGGAGAAGCCCTGGCCCTAAGACCCTTGTGGCTGGGTCTGTCCACAGGAGGGGGGCCTGCCTGTGCCCACCGAGTCTGCTAGCCCCAGCCTCTGCCTGCTGCGCTTCCTTGTGTCCCAGCAGGTCCTGCTGCTATTCTTCAGTGATGGGACAGTGCAGGTGAGCGTGGGCTTTCATCCTCAGGAGCCCCTGGCGGGTCAGCGGGTTGGCAGCAGCTCTGTCCCCTGGACCATGCTGGCTGTCCCCGTGTAAACTGTTGGGGGTGGGGCTCCAGGAAACAGCTGCCTCCTGGCAGGGGGGCAAAATATTGACTCCTAATTTCAAAAACTGCAAGATTGAAAATAAAATGTGCCCTGACCAGTGTGTCTTAGTTGGTTGGACATCATCCCACAGAGCAAAGGGTTTCCAGTGATTCCTGGTCAGGGCACATGCCTGGGTTGTGGGTTTGGTCCCCAGTCGGGGGGTATGTGAGGGGTGACCAATCCATGTTTCTTTCTCACATTGATGTTTCTCTCCCTCTCCTTCTCCTTCCCTTCCTCTCTCTCTGTACATAAATAAATAATTAAATAAAATCTTTTTGAAAATAAAATTAGTGTAAGTAACAGCAAAATGTAATTTGGGGTCATCTTCGTGGGTGGTTTCATTTAGCAGCTGTCAAAATGTCATTTCCTTGGGAAGTCATTTTTAAGTTGAGTTTTTCCTGAGAAGTCCTGGCAATTTCTGAGAAATCAAGCCAGTCCTAAAACATTTCAAAATAAGTAGCATATGATACTTTCATTATTATTCTTAAATCTGTTTACAGTAGGAAAAACAACTCTGGCCAGTCAGACCAGGCAGGGCCACACCCTGGGCTGGGCGGGGTCTCAGGAAGACAGCTGTGTCTCCAAGGCCCCACGGGAAGCTCAGGGGAACTGGTACTTGGTGAGGGGCTAGAGCTCTCCAGGTGACAGGAGTAAGAATGGAAGTCTCACTGGGTGACCGTGGGCAGGGGAGTCCTGTCTAAAACTCAGTTTCCACTTCTGTACAGCAGAACTCTGGGCTCCCAACTCTGAGTTCCTAGGAGTGGGGCAGCCTCTGAGACCCAGGTCAGACGGCTTTCAGTCTCCTGTCCACTTGTCCTTCTGTTTGTAAGGCCAAGGCTGGGGGCAGTCCCAGGGGAACCCTTCTCCCCTTGACCTTGGCTCCTTACCTTTGGCAGGTCAGCTGCAGTGGAGACCAGGTTCAGCTGGTGCTGAGCGGTGGGGGCGAAGAGTTGCTGCTCACGGTCTGGGAACGGGGCCAGCCTGGTACCTCCTACACTCTGGGGATGTTGCGGAGCCACGGTTGTCCCCCAGCTGCTCGCCAGCACCTGCTTCATGCTCTCTGCATGCTGAAGAGCATCTAGCGCCCCCTAGCGTCAGACTGGACCTCTGCATGTTGATGCCAGGGACGCAGGCCCATTTCTGTTGCTCCAGAGGGGATGTTGGTGGGGAGTATGCAGGTGCATGGGAGGCGGGGGGTTCTTGCCTCATGGACTGACTGTTCAACCCAGACTTTTGTTCAACTTTCTTTTTTCTTTCATTAAAGAAAATGTGACTTGCAGCCTGCCATCCGACTCTCTTTGGGGGAGTTTGAGGACCTTCGGCAAGGTGGGACTCAAAGCCAGTGGGGTCTGAGCCCAGCATTCTTTGTGACACAGACAGGCAGGCCAGATTCTCGCCACACAGAAGTTAGGATCAGAGTGGTGTTGTGGAATGACCAAAAATCTAAACGTTATGACAGTTATTTAATGGACGGTCAGCGAGCAAATGAATGTTGGGACCTGGAGAGATGGTGATTTGTGTTATGCAGGGGGCAAAAGCGCTGGGCACAGCTGTCACCTGCGATGACTTAGAGTTGGGGGGATGTGCTTCCTGGGGAAGGTCCTATTTTTTTCCCTATCCATTGACATACATTTATGTTCCTGTAAAAAAGAACCCATCAGCACACCCTGGCTTTTCCTCTCGACAACACGCCTGGCTGCATTCCTGGATTTGTGTGTAAGGAGCCACCTTGTTTCTTTTAATAGAAGGAGGCGATGAAGAAAATCTGGCATTTAGGACCTGGGGAGGAAATGCCGGAATCTCGGTGGGATTGGTGAGGGGAGGTCAAATGTCTCCGTGTAGGAGGAGAAATTGCTCTGTTTAAAAGAGGGGTAAACACGGGAGGGTTCCCTGGGGACCCTGGGAGGAACAAGGTGTGGGTGGGAAAGGGCCTGGCAGAAGACAGAGGCAGTGCTGGGTGGGGCATCGTGGTCTTTTTTTTTCCCTTTTATATTACTATTAATGTAAAATTCACATAACATGCAGTTAATTATTTTAAGGTGTACAGCTCGGTGACAATGAATGCATTCACGTTGTTGGGCAGCCTCCGCCTCTATCTAATTCCAAAACGTTTTTATGGGCCCAGAACACCCCTCCCCTCCCCCACCCCTACAACCACTGGTCCATTTCCTGTCTCTGCGGATGTGCCTGCTCTGGACGTTTCATATAAATGGAATCACTCTGTGGCCTTTCGTGTCTGGCTTCTCTGAGGAGCATCATGTGTTCGAGGTCCACCTAACGTCCTAGTGAGTGTCAGCACTTTACTCCTTTTCATAGCTCAGATATTTCAGTGTGCGGATGGGCCACATTTTATTTGCTCATTTGATGGTGTCATGTTACAAATGACAGAAACCTCCCTCCTAATTTTTATGAGCAACACGAAGGATTGGCTTCTGACGTTGTAATGTTCAGAAGGAGGGATGGTTGCTGGCCAGGCTGGGTCAGGGGCTCAGTTGAAGAATAAGGTCTTCCTCCTGCCTCTCCCTTTCCCTCACTTTTTCTCCATTTCTCGCTCTACCATCCTTTGTTTTGGCTCTTGCAGCATAGTGACAAAGATGACCCCTGGCAGGCACTGACATGCTCCCCAGCAAAATCAGGGCCAAGGCAGCAGCCACACATTCCCCATTAGTGCCAGCAAAAGTCCCAAGTTGAAGTTTATTGGCTGGACCTTGGTCACATGATCCCCCCTCCAGTCTCCTGGATCCACAGTAGAGTGTAGCAGGTTCACAAGTAGGAAGAGTAGATGCTCATATCCCATCATCCTCTTGCTTTGCTGTGGTGTGTTTCTGATCGACATATAGTCTTTTGTGTGAAAATGCCATGGTGGGCAACCTGCAAGACGGCCCCATCTCCTGGCACACATCCCCTTGTGTAGTCGTCTCCACACTGACTAGGGTTGGCCTGTGGAGCCAACAGGATATCAGCAGTGACAGTCTGTGACTTCTGAGACTAGGCCGTACAGATGTGAGGCTTCCACCCCACTCTCTTGGACCACTTGCTCTGTGGGCACGCTGCGAGGACACCCGAGAACGCCGTGCAGGGCCCACACAGAGAGAAGCGAGCCTTTCCCCCAGAGCAGCGTGAGGGCGCCACCCCTGAAGTGGCTCCTCCAGCCCTGGTCCTGCCTTCAGAAGCGGCCCCTGGCTGGCGGCTCCACTGCGACCGCATGACAGACCCTTTGCTAGAACCACTGAGGCAAATCACTTCTGAATTCCTGACCCACAGAAGCTGTGAAAAAATTCTTGCTGTTTCAAGCCACTCCGTTTCGGGGTGACTTGTTACCCTACAATAATGTACTAATGCGCTTGCCCAAACACGCTGAGGACCCAGCCCCATTTCTGTCCAGAACATTGGTTTCAGGGGAGAAAAAGACAAAACACTGTCAGCAATTTAACTGCCTATCTTGCAAAATGACCTACCTAGAGTATTTATTCCCATCTGTTCGTGGGCGTAGGAACAGCAACAATCTGTGAGAATCGCCCACAACGGTGGTTTATAAACCAACCACAGAATATATTAATTTTGAAACTTCCCAGGCCGATTCTTATTTCTAGGTATAAGAACGTCAAGAGATGGCCAAGTGCCCACGACACCCTCGCACTGAACTTTCTGGAATCCTCTTCAGAGAGGGGGACTGTGAACTGCCAAATAAATAAAGTTATTGTTTTGGAGGGGGGCACTTACAAAGGTTGAAGGTTAAAGAAATGCCAATGAATCCACTCCAGGTCTGGCCAGAATCTGTGTGTGTGTGTGTGTGTGTGTGTGTGTGTGTGTGTGTGTGTAAGGAAACTGTGGAGGGCATTTTTAACTTTGAAGAATGAAGGAAAACTTGCCTTAATTTAATTCTACCTTTACCCCTGCCCTCCATCTGAAGCATCAGATGACCGCTGCCTCCGGACTACCTCCTCCTTGGTTCACGGGAGCATGGTACACAGATGCCTCCTACAATCAATCAGCAGCGAGTAAGGCGGCCGCATCCCTAGAGGCTAGCTGGCTGCTGCCCTAGCAACCTAGCGTGATGTCACAAAGCCTGGCAGGGTCCAGGTCCTGCCTGCCCGCATCTGCTTCCCCATCTGTTCTAAGCCGCAGCGCTCACCTGGGAGCTGGGGGCTTTCTTCTCCCCATTTAGCAGATGAGGAAACTGAAGTATGTGGGTTGCATCAATATATAAAACTGCAGGGAGAAAACGCAGGTGGCTGTAGGTAGGTCAACCTGGCCACCCTAACCCTTTGGGGAGTTTTTAAAATCCTGATGACTCTAGGGAATTATGCCAAGGGAAAAAAGATCCAAAGGTCACATAATGTAAAATTCCATTTATGTAAATTTTTAAAAATTGAGAGAGAAACATCCATTTGCTGGGATCAAACCCACACCCTTGGCATATCAGGACAACGCTCTAACCAGCTGAGCCGCCCAGCCAGGCCCCATTTGTGTAACGATTTTGAAATGACAACAGATAAGTGGTTGCCAGAGAATTAGAGGTGGGAGCGGGCGGAGGGGGAAGGGCTGAGGTTGTAACAGAGAAGCTCTAAAGGTTCTTATGGTGGTAGATATACGAACCTATTCAGATGATACTATTGTAGACATTACAAATACCCACATAGGAGAGCAAGTGAAATTGGGAAATCTGAAATCTGGGTAAGATAGTTGTCAACATCCACCCAGGTTGAGATACTGATTTCATTTTTCAAAATACAACCTTATTGGAGGAGACTTAGCCAAGTGTGAGATGGACTTTCTGTTATTTCTTACAATTGCAGGAGCATCCACAATGATCTCAATAAAAATTTCGATTAAAAAAAATTCTGCCCTGCCCTGGCTGGCGTAGCTCATGGATGGAGCACGGCACTGCAAATTAGAGGGTCACCATTTCTTTTTTTTTTATTTTTTATTTTTTATTTTTATTTATTTATTTTTCGAGAGAGGGGAAGGGAAGGAGAAAGAGTGGGACAGAAATATCAATGTATGGTTGCCTCTTATGAGTCCCCTGCTGGGAACTGGCCCACAACCCAGGCATGTGCCCTGACTGGGAATCGAACCGCGATACTCTGGTTCACAGGCCCGTGCTCAATCCACTGAGCTACGCCAGCCAGGGCCTAGAGGGTCACCATTTCGATTCCCAGTCTACGGCACATGCCTGGGTTGCAGGCCAGGTCCCCAGCTGGGGTGAGAGGCAACCACACATTGATGTTTCTCTCCTTCTCTTTCCCCTTCCCTTCCCCTCTGTCTAAAAATAAATAATAATTTTTTAAAAATATTTTATTTATTTATTGTTAGAGAGGAAGGGAAGGAGAGAAGGAGAGAAATATCAATGTGTGGTTGCCTCTCGTGAGTCCCCTGCTGGGAACTGGCCTGCAACCCAGGCATGTGCCCTGACTGGGAATCGAACCTCGATCGTGTGTTTCGCAGGCCCGCGCTCAATTCACTGAGCTACACCAGCCAGGGCAATAATTTTTTAAATATTAAAAAAATAATTCTGCCCTGACTGGGTAGTTCAGTAGATTAGAACATTGGCCTGATATGCTAAGGTCGTGGGTTCAATCCCTGGTCAGAGCACGTATAAGAATCAACTAGGGGAATTAAAAAATAATAAAACAAATGGGACTATATCAAACTAAAAAGTTTTTGCACATCAAAACAAGCCATCAACAAAATAGAAGGACAACCAAATGGAATGGAAGAACATATTCACCAATACATCTGGTAATGGGTTAATAACCAAAATTTATAAAGAACTTATAAAACTCAACATCAAAAAACACAAGTGATCCAATTAAAAATGCAAAAGACCTGAACAGACACTTCTCCAAAGATGACACACAGATGGCCATAGACATATGAAAAGTTGCTTAACACCACTAATCACCAGAGAAATGTAAATTAAAACCACAATGAGATATCATCTCACACATGTCAGAATGGCTGTGATCAATAAATCAACAAACACAAGTGCTGGCGAGGGTGTAGAGAAAGGGGAACCCTCGTACCCTGTTAGTGGGAATGCAGGCTGGTGCAGCCATTGTGGAAAGCAGTTTGGAGATAACTAAAAAAAAATTAAAAATGGAACTCCCTTTTGACCTAGTAATCCAACTTCTCGGAATATATCTGAAAAAACCCAAAACACTAATTTGAAAGAACATAAGCACCCCTATGTATACTCATTGAAGCATTATTTACAAT